GGATTCTTGCTGTCTGAGGGCTGGGAGTGTGAATCTCAAGGGAACGCATCTGTGTATATCACAGCCACTACAGGCTGGGTTTGCAGCCCACAAGTCCCTGTGCAGGGTGCTGGCTGTGGAGGTGCTCAGGGCTGCCCAGCACTGGGGGAATTCTGACTGTAGTGAGTATGGGGTAGAAGGAGAAACCAGCAGTCCTGGCTGCAGCTCATAGGAGCTGGCAAGAAGGAGGTTTTGCTATTCCAGTCCTGGCTTCCTTCATCGGAGAATTTACTAGGATTACCTCTGGAGAAACTCTCATAAATGCATTCATTCCTATTGGCTTTTAGCAGCAATTGCTGTGGGAAGTGTTAGAAGGGAGTGTTCTCTGGTCCCGTGCTCAGCCCACCACTGCAGGAGTTGGTACAGTTTGGATGGGGGTAGTCGTAATGTGATCTCTCTTTCAGAACGATGTTCCCATTTTTCAAGTTCCCAAAAGGGTTAAAAAAAATATATGCCAAAAGTATTATCTGCAGCATGTTCTCTTCTGTTGTTACCTTACTCTAATTTCTGCCTGATATCCCATAGCAGTTCAGATGCAGTGCTGACAGCAGCTTCCACGAGTTACTTATCATCTTTCCCCACCAAACTGCATTCATTGCTTTGAAATATCCGAGAGGCAGTGCCTAGTCCAGCTGCTTCCTGGAGATACAATCTGGTAACTCAAGTGTAGCTCTGTTTGTTCAGATCCAGTGCAGAAAGTTTTTGGAGCTTTCAGGCGTAATTTATCAGTCCACCTCTAAGCACCACCGAATGCAAGTAATTGACTCTTTATTTCATGATCTAGGAGAAATGAGGGTGTAGTGTTAAACCAGTTGTTAATATGTAATATTTGAATCTATTGCCTCAGCTAAGCGTAGTAACAGAAAAGAGAAAGGGCCTGATTTGGTGCAACTCCCACTGCCTTTCTGGATCCTAGTGCTCTAGAAATCATTCCATAGGTCAGTGACAAATAATTTGGTTTCCTTCTTTGTGTTTCCTTCTTCGTCCGACATACTGGTGAAAAGCATGCTGCACAGAGCTTGCTTCATCTGAATTCTCAGTAGTGCTGGCTGCCTTCTACAGGAAAAAAAAAAAAAGGTCCTCTTGAGATGCTTCAGCAATGGTTGTTAGAAACAAGATTAATTAGTCCCCAAAACTAAAAGCAAATATTTGAATTGTTGAAGAGCATTGAAACAGTTATTATTTCTGATCGTTGTGGGGATCCTTTAAGGTCCTTCTTCATTGTGGAAGTTATTTTGTTCTGATCTGAGATTTTAAAGGATAGAGTTTATCCTCAGCACTTGAGATTCCCAAATGGGAGGAGAGGGAAGATGAGATAGAAAAAAAGGTGACGTTTTTGAGCTATCTCTGGGTTCATGCTTTGATCTTTGCATCTTTTTTTCTATGTTATAGGCCACAACTTCCACCAACTGGATTCTGGAGTCACAGAACATTAATGAATTGAAATCTGAGATCTACTCATTAAAAGGACTCCTCCTGAACCGGTATGGGTGGAATGTATTGATAGAAGATGATTGTGTGGGGAAGGGTTGCTTTCTGGGATTCTCTCAATCATAGAGAGGAAAAGCATTTCCAGCAGGAACTAGCTCTATATCCTGTTATTGCTATTTTAATAATACCACTCCACTATCACTTTCTATTTGCAGGTCTCAAAATGCTTTTCAAATTTGCCTTAAATCACAGAGTGCTCTGGGTAATTAATAATTACTAAGATTTTTCCTTTTTGTTTTTGATTGAGAAATTCTCTGCTGTTCCCAACAGGGAGGATGCCTCCCTCCCACCTGGTTTGAGGGGTTGAGTGCATCTGAGCTGGCCACCTCTGCTCTGCTGTAGAGAGAACCAGAGGTGGATGCAGTTCATTTGATCTGTTCATGGTGAGGGATAACCAGGTCAAATGACACTTCAGCAGAACCTGTTCTTCTCCACTGGCTCACTCAGGCATAGACTTATTATCTATAGATGTCTGAAATGATAGTAATACAAATGCCAACCTATGGGCTAAGTTATAAGATGAGGGATCAGATCTCAGTGTTCATCAGCTGTTGACCCTTTGATTTGACTCCCTGACTTCCTCCTTCATACAAATAAGTCTTCTCAAAGCATCCTTGGCACAAAGTCTTTCTGCTGTCTACTGATGGCCAGCAGTAGAGAAGCAGCAGCTCTCCAGAGTGGGCAAGGGTAAGAGCTGGCGTTAGGGAAAAATCACTCTTTTATGCAGCTTTAGGCATAAAAGTTGTTTTAGTTGTTCACTTTCCAAAAAAAAAAAAGGCAAATGATTCTACAGCGAGGAGGCAGCAGCAGCACAGCCCAGAAAGACTCCAGAATGAATTTGTTGATTGCATTTATGATACTGGTTGAATGCAGACGTTCACTTATTGCACTCTCAGGAGATGGAGGCTAGATCAGCAGAGTTCTTCCATGGCTGGTGGTGGCAGTGAGAAGAGGGAGGTGAGAGCAGCTTCTGTTCCTAGTTAAGCGTATGAAAATGGACTCTGTTGTGCACAAGCACTCATTGTAAGAGTGTAACCAACTTCGGTCTGCTTTGCTTTTACCCATGGCACAGCCAGTTCACCTGAGGGGCATGAGAATCCCCTCCACACAGCATCCCAGACACGAATCTGATACCTTTTCATACTCCCACTTTGCACATACAAAAGCAAGGATGCATGGGGAGTTCCAAACCAGACATGCTTTTCTGCTTTACTCTTCATGATGGATCACTTTCTGAGGGCACTGCCTCTCCTTACTGGACTTAAATTTGTCCTTTTTGGAACTTACATTCTCCTTTTAGAGATGGGCATTAGCTTGGCACTGTCAAATCCTTAAAGTCCACCTGGAGAGGACTCACTGAGGACAGTGCAGCCATATTCTCAGCTGGAGCAAGTCAGTATGTCTCCATTCAAATCAGAGAAGCTAAGGCAGTTTGCAGCAGCCAGGATCTGGCCCAAACATGTAAAGTGCGTGCTGGGACTAGGAGATAGAGTCTGGACTGTAATAAGGCAGCATGCAATAGCTGTGTATCACAGTGGAAGCGAGAGCCAGGTGGTGAAATTTCTTGGCGGAGGCACAAGGAGCAGATTTCTCTGACTTCTTACTCCAGTGGGAATTTTCCTTTCCAATTAATTAGTGATTGTTTTATAAGGGACACCCATGTCTTTCCAGAGGCAGCATTCCCGACTGCTAACTTACTCTGTGAAATTGGCCAAACAAAATCAGTTCTGACTCAATTACCGGTTGCTTGTAAAGCACTTTGAGATTCTGGCTGAAGAAATGAAGTGGCCTTGTTCTTGTTCATTGAAGTTTCAGTCCTGTTTTACATGGCTTCCCCAGTACAAATACTATTCTCTCTAATGGCAACCCCTCTGTTTTTAATAAAAGTCCCTTTCTTTCCTTTTCTTCCCTCCCTTCTCCCCCCTAAGGAGGCAGTTTCCTCCCTCCCCTTCAGCTCCTAAGATCCCATCGTGGCAGATCCCAGTGAAGCCAAGCTCACCTTCCAACCCTGTTGTCGCCAACCACAACAGCAGCAGTGACATCTCACCTGTCAGCAATGAGTCTACCACCTCCTCACCGGTCAAGGAGAACCACAGTCCTGAGGGTTCGAAGGTCAGCTGCCATCTGCTGAGCACCGAGGAAGGCAGCAAGGCAGTGATTGATGTCAAGAGCCAAGTGCGGATGGAGGTGCAGGGTGAGGAGGAGAAAAGGGAAAACAAAAGGAATGAAGAAGAAGAAGAGGACGATGAGGATGATGACGTGAGCCACGTGGATGAGGAGGAATGTATGGGTGTCCAGACTGAGGACCGGAGAGGAGGGGATGGGCAAATTAATGAGCAGGTGGAAAAGCTACGAAGACCTGAGGGAGCCAGCAATGAGAATGAGATTGACTAAGGCACCCTGGCTTCTGCTGATGCTGCTGTACATCTTCCCTAGCCTCCTGCACTGTCCCTGGTGCTCTCCCATTTTGTGGAGTGCCACCATCCCTTCCAGTGATTCTTCCATGATTGACCTTGAGCAGGGTCGTGATTGCCTGGTGAACAAGGTGGGCCGTTTCACCACATGGCTGTGCAGCGTTGCAGTGGCTTCTTCTCCCCTCCCAGGCCCACCTTCCCCCCATGAGCTGGGGTCACTGCCTAGGCTGGAAGACCAATCGCCTTACCATGCACCACAGCAACAGAATAAGTCCCCTTACAAAAACATCCAGCATCTCCTGAAGTGGTCAGCCTCTTTGCTACGTCCTGGAGTCCCTCTATCCCGTTTCAGAAACCTGTCTGCCCTGAAGTCTTTGATTTCACAAGCCTTTAATCCCCATATAATCCCCAAAACAGTTCTCGCTGTTTCCCACAATATCCCTCAATTTTATTTCTCAAGCTAATTGGTATTCTATTGCCAAAAAAAATAACATTTTAATTCCTCACCAGATCTCATTCTCAGCCACCTTCTTCCAAGCCTTATGCCAAGCCTCGAATTCCTGAAACTACCTAGTGTTTAAAAACACTAAATTTCTGGTGGGGTCCAAAGAACACCATTTCCACCCCATGTGCTCTCTTCCATTCATCAAAGTGGCCTCTTGCTAGGGACCAAGTCCAGGTTTCACGGCCACAGTAAAATGCATGAGAACAGGTGGCTTTGTTACTGATTGCTCCCCTGTAAAGGGACGTCTTAAAAGATGACCCCACTCATGGCAATTACTCCCCTTCTTCCTCCAAAGACAAGGAGCTAGCATCAGTTTTTGACATCTTTTATAGCTGTCCTGAATGAGATGATATCAGATGCTGAAATAAGTGGTTAATTTTGAATCTTTGCAATGGTTCTGAGCTTGTTTTTCTCCCTAAGTGAGGAGAAAACCCATATTAAATGATCAGCTGAGACCTGCACCTACCCAGTGACAGGCACCTGCTTCAGCAAGGCAGTCTTTACAGGAGAGAGAACAATTCCAGCTCTGAGGTACACCACAGGCCCTCTTGTCCAGTCCAGCCATTATTTTTATTTGCCTTTTTGGGGCTATATACAAATCAAAACGGTGAATTTTGAAACCTCTCATTTGCAGCATTGTGTTCTCAGCTGTTAAAATGGTGGTGTCCAATTATATTACTCACTGCATCAGAGCCTCTTAGTGGAGCAATTCTTGTAACAACCGAGTCTCACTGTCCTCACTAAGCAAGCGTGCTCGTCCGTGTGATCATGTATAGATTTCAAATATAAAATATGATTGTATATAATTGTAATAAATATGAGTTACCACTATTTAACACCAGGCTGTTACTGGATTGCTGTGGCTCTTTTTTGGGGGGAGAAATATACAGGGTGGCAAAGGGAGGAAAGTGGGCGCGTTATGGAAATGCAGTCCTTATAAAATGTTTTCTTGGTGGTTGGTTTATTTTCTAGCTGCTCCAGTCCTAGGTTATGTCAGCAGGAGGCAGCGCAGAGAATGGTGGAAATGCAATACACAGTTCAGTGCAGACAGCTGCGACAGTACCGTAATTCTAGGCTGCCTCCATTGTTGCAGAGGGTGAGATGGTGGATCGTGGGTGAGTAAAATGCAGCTCCTCTGGTCCCCTTCCTCCCAGCAGGAGGCTCTGCAGGGTGCAGAATGCAACGCCGCACTCCGTTCCACCCCAGCAGCAGGAGGTGCTGAAGGCAGTGTGTGAGATATCCCATGGCCCTCAGCCTTATCTGCCAGCAGAGAATGCGGTGCCGTGTCCCGTGACTGCTCTGAGCCCTGCCATGTCAGTGCAGAAGCCATTGAAAGAAGTGGCATCCAGCACTTGCAGCTACTGCAGTCCCATCTTTGTTCAACAGAAGTATTTGGCTCCCTCCTAAAAAAGAGGGATTTACTTGATTCCTGAGTATTTGGGTGTCTGGTACACAGTGACATTTTCCTGCTCAGGGGGAGCGAAAGGAACCTTCATATTACTGTATTTAGACCTGCTGCTGGATGTGATGATTTCTCATTCCTTAAATGGACGAATATCTTCCCCAGGAGTGTGTGTGTGTGTGTGTGTGTGTGTGTGTCTCCGCTGTTTAACGTTCACAAAGAACGTCACATTTAGCTAAAACAGGGCAAATTTGAAAGTGTTTAAAAGGACAGATTTGTATTAAGAGATGGCACTTTTCATTTCTCCAAGCCAAGAATCCTTGTGAAAAGAAAACACGACTGAACACGAGGATGTAATGAAAAAGTATTGTCCTGCCTGTGTACATTTTATATACATAGAAGGTTTTGAAAATAGAAAGTGCCTGGACAACAGCAGTTGGTGAAATGTGGAAAATATGTTGCTGAGGTATGTGCCTTGCAAAGTGACTTACGAGGTTTACAATACAACCATCTCTGAGGGTTCATTTTTTCCCCCTTTTCCTTCATGTTACCCGTGTTCAATCCATTTACCATTAAATTTCTGCAGAATAAAAGGTAGATTTCCTCATCTACCCTTTTCACTCTCTTAGCTTTTGCTTCTTACAGCCTTTACCAGCTGGATAGGTCATGTTTTTTCCTTTCCCCAACCAGATACAAGTCCCAGCAAATTCCCTCGTAGTCCACAGCTGAAAAAAAACCATCTCTGAGCCTCCTGATGGGGTCCTATGTACTCTGTTGAAGTGACCTAACCCTCCAGCATAGAATTTGGAAGAAACCAGACCTTCTTAGCAGCTGGTATTTTTGGGAGTCATGAGTGTCACTCCTCAGTCTCTCCTTTCTTGTCTCTCAGCAGCACAGCAGGAGTTTCAGGGCAAGTATTTTGGTCTTGATGAACCGTACTGACTGCTAACTTGTGATTATTATTATTATTATTATTGCTAAAAACAAGCTTCTTGTATGAGCTGCTGTGTGAAATGTTTAGCCCACCAGACAGTAGACACTGAGAGTGCCATCATGTTACCTGAAAGATGACCAGGTAGTCAGCCCTTTTTCTGCACACACAACAAGGCAGCACAAGCAGTCGCCCACCCTCTGCCTTACTCAAGGACTGTGTAACCAGCCTTGGTTTTGGCACAGAAAAAAAAGTAACAACATGGGTAGGTGGGTGCAGTGGGTTTACTGCATGGTTTCTATAGGTTTTTGGAACTGAGAAGAGAGAGTGAAGACAACTAGCTTCTTCTGAACAGTGTCATTTGAGCACATAGCAGTGAAGCCCTTTGAGCCTGTGTTCTCCCCTAGGGGGGATAATGTCAGGCTGACACTTTCCAGTAATTTGAGGATATAACCCCCCCCCCCTTTCAATAGCTGCAAGAGAACGTGGGGAGCTCAAAACATGTGACAAAGTGGGAAAGGATTAAGTAAGACACAGCTCCTGATCCTCTTTGTCCAACCCTCCTCACCCCCAGCTGTAACCAGTTGGCCCTACGTGCACCTTTGTCAGAATCAAGAGTTCCTTTATTGCATTTTGATGCCCAGGGTGAAACCTAGCAGTGTGTGAGATCAGGAGGGATGGACAGCAGGGTCCCCCATGATCTTGCTGTTTGCTGCCCAACGTTTTACAGAACATTTTACTTGCAGTGTGCCTCAGTTTTCCCAGATGATGGCAAAATTACCATCTGCTGTGTCCTGGGATGTGACAAATAAAAGCTGCAGAGAAAGCAACTTCAGGAAGCAGATTTCACTCTAGGTCCTGCAGGTGACACAAACTCCCCTTATTGGCTGTGCCCTGTGGTGCAGTGATTGCAGCCCCCTGCCCAGCTGCAGCCACTCTCTTTGGTTGCCTGGCTCCTATGGCCTGGACTGCACAGCTGTGGGTGATGAGCTGAACCACCCTCCGGGTTTAGAGGCAGACATTTTAGATGTGGTCTTTGTGTGGTGGAGCTGAGCTACTTCTAGCAGGTAAGTGGTTTTTAAACATTTTCTTTCTTACTTTTGGCCGTGGTGGAGTGGGTGGATGGGGGAGAATGGGCTGCTTTTCCAGGGGTACCTCACTCTAGTGTGAGGTTTACTGCAAGGTGGCAGCAGGGCAGGAGGGAAAGCTGTGATGCTGCCTGGAGTAGGGCTGAGGGAAAAAACAGTCTGCTTAGCTGCTTGTTTGCAATGCTTGCTACAGAAATAGAGGCTGCTTTTGCCTTCGCTTTGGTAGGGCTGTGTGATATCTGAAGAAACCTGGGCTGGATAGCAAGGCCAGGTAGCTTTTTGTTGCAGCTCAGCTGTACTGAAGTCAAGATTTGGAAGGTCCTTCTGTGTGGTGGAGCCTCGTGTACAGCACCAATTGTATGTGGTGGTGACCCAGCATGCCAAAACCTGATACCAGGCTTGAGTTAAGTGCCTTCCAGTCTGGGCTTTGAGCTCTGCTCCATTGCAAGTGCACACCTTGTAAGGAGCTTGGCCTCCAGGAGCTGAGAACATAAATAAAGCAATGCTGGGAGGTGAAAAGGAGGAAATTATTTACCTGAGGGCACAGGAGAGAGTGTCCAGCTTTCTTAATTTTCTCTTTCATCCTCACATCTCCCAGATCATTACGCTTCCTCAGGAGTCAGGCTCTGAAGGCACCTTTTGAGCTGCGTCCATCTGTTGTATTGATGGAAGTCTGGATCTTACCACTGCCTGTGCTGTCAGAAAAAAAAATAGTAAATAAAATAGTGGAAGTCTACCTAATTGAATTCATGGGGAGCAGGAAGGATACAGGGAGAGTCCAGGTCCTCCTCTTGCTGAGCACTGGAGGCTCTGAGCTGCACGCTTGTGGATCCAGGGGCTGGCATGGTCTCTCCCAGCTCAGGGAAAAAAACAATCCCATCCTCAAAAGGGAGCAAGCACTAACCTAATAAAGGCACCAGCTGGACGAAAGGAAAACCGGCTCTTTGGAAAAAAAAAAAAAAAAACCCTTTCATTAGAAAAATAATATATTTCATCCTAATAAGGTAAAAATATTTGAAATGGGGCAGAAGTGAGCACTAGGCAGCATCTGTCAGGCCCTTTCTGGAAAGGGGAAGATTATTAAACTCAATTATAATTTATTTTTGTAAAGTGTCTTTCAGACTAAAAATCTCCCCAGATGCTTTGCAAGGACTGCTCAGGGGTTACTTGCAGCATGGAGCATCTCAGTGTGCCCCTCTTTTCTGCATCTACTAAAGGATTTAACCCTTCAGGTTTTTCTCTTCTGTTTTTGTGTGAGTTATGAGAGATCTTTTACGATGTGAGCTGCAAGAACATGCCCAAGGAGTGGAGGGGCAGTTGAGGTTGCACTGTTTTTCTGTTTTAGATTAAATACTTGCATTTCTCTAGGACAGTTCCTCCTGAGTGAGGAGGTGATTGGTTGGTTAGGATTGATTCAGAGCATCCAGGACTACAACTGGCTTCTTTGTTGCCTATTTTTCCCTTTGCCAGCCTGCTTGTCCATCTCTCAGTCACTTTATCTGCCTGGTGTGTCTGGTTTGTCAGCCCTCCTGCTGCTGGTTCCAGCCTGCTGCCATGCCTGCCTGTCTCCTCTTGCCCCATGCTTTTCCCTTTTGCTCTCTACACTTCAGACACAGACTGCTTCCAACTTTATCCATTCACTTTGATAAGCTAGCTAAGTAACTGACTTAATTAAAGTTGTGTGGATGTTCCTCCATCCCTCTGAACAAGTTTGCTTTATTTAAAGCATTTCAAACTGATGTGTGCATGCACAGAAGGCTGTGTGTTAAACTGCTGCCGTCCTCCAATGCAGAAGCATGGTTTGGTGCTTCCTGCCCTGGTACAGCATGAACAGCAGGTTTCATCTCTGTGTGCCTGCCTGTCTGCTGCTATGGCTTCATTTGTTCCTTGCTGTACGGTGATAGCAGCCCTTCCCAGCAGCAGACACAGGTTCAGGGTGAGATGGAGGCAGGCAGTGGGCACAGGACTGTGGGTGACAGAGGGGCTCAGGGCTGTTGGTAGCAGGAGCACGAGACAGAACCCTGCCCTGTGGGAAGGGAAGAGGGCAGGCCGGGCTCCTTAGTCTGCCTGTCAGATAAATCTTGGTCTGTTTACTTAAATCCTCAGTGTTTCTTCATTTGTTTGTTTAAAAGTTTCCCTGCCAAAAAAGAGCAAAAGGAAGGAGGGAAGCTGCCTCCATGGGCCACCCCCTCAGCCAGGATGGGGCTGGGGCACTTTGGGGACAGGAGGAGCAGAGGTGGCAGAGCACCCTGCAGCCTGGGGACACAGCCCTGCTCCCATCTGCAGAGCACCCAGGTGAGGAGCCCAGCGAGCTCCACCTTGCCACCAAGAACTTATCCTCCCTCCTGTTGTTTTCTCTCCCCACAATAAGTGAGACAAAAGAGAAAGTAAACAAAAATCTTGCAAGGTCATGGAAAAACTCTGGAAGTGCATTGCATACCCACAGCTTATGACTGTACCGGGCACAATAAACATCAGCTCTGCAGGTCCTTCACGTGTTGGTGTGTGCTGTCACCCAGACTAGGGGCTTCCCTTGTCCCCTCTTGAGTACTATGCAAACCTGCAGAAAATAGGCATGTACAAGAATGCATACACACAGTCATGAGTGCTCTCACTCTTTCCCAATTTGTTCAAATTAAACTTAAGTTTATCGTTGATTTGTAGAGAGAGAGACAGGAGTCTTTTATTTGTGTGTGTGTATGTGAAACTCCAAAGTTCTTGGTGATCTGCATGCTTTTTTGTTTGCGATGGGTACGAGCTGCTCGTTGACTTTCAGAGAGGTCTTAAAAGTTCATGTTCCAATTGAAATGAAATGAGATTTTACTGTCAAGTTGCAGCAGCTTCAGTCTTCAATGGAATGCAAGTGGGGGCAAAGGAAAGAGGGGGATCTGCTTAGCTTCTCTCCTTCCCCTTTCCTCCAGAGCTCCCTCTGTGAAAGGCCTTGCAGTGGTCTTGCAGGATGGCACTGTGTGTTTGTAAAGCAGTGTGCCTGACTGCACCAGCCCAGAAGTGTGTGTGGAACTCAGCTGGGCCGTGAGCGGTCTGTGTGCACTGTGCAGCAGGGCTGTTGGTGCCAATGCTTACTTTATGGAAGGGTTTGTGCTTTGTATTTATAGAATCATAGAATGGCCTGGGTTGAAAAAGACTGTAATGATCGTCCAGTTCCAACCCCCCTGCTATGTGCAGGGTTGCCAGCCACCAGACCAGGCTGCCCGGAGCCACATCCAGCCTGGCCTCGAATGTGTTATTATGTCCAATGCAGACTCATAGCCAGGGACCCTGACTGCTGCTCATCTACGCTGAAATCCCATTCCATTCCAAATTTCATTCTCTAGAGGTATGGAGATGGGCTTATTTAACAGACCTATTTCCCCAGCAAGTCTCCTGTCCTTTCTTGAAGTCGGCATGCTGTGTGAAGCCGGTGCTGAGCCTCAGTCCTTGCAAGCTCTGAGTTATGCCCAGTATGTGTTGTGCGTCATAACAGCTGCCTTTCCTCTACCAGTAAGCGTCAGAACTCAGAATTTCCTTCTGCCTGGGTGTAGGAGGCATTGTGCTACCAGAGTAACCATCCTCCCAGCCAGGCCTGCTTTTCCACACTTGGTGCTCATCTGAGCAAGCTGTGAGTTTCTGTGGCACTCGTGGCTCTGCACACCTGCTGGTGACTGCTGGGCATCCTGTGCTCACAGCTCCTGTGGGATGGCTGCCTGCTAAAGAGGAGCGCAGTCTGGAGCTGATGAGTTTGTAAGAAAGATTGCTGCAAATGGAGTGAGTGCCTGCTGCAGTATGGAAACCATTCCTTGTTGGTCTGGACAGAAGGAGAGGTGTAACCCGAAGTGCTGTTTTCCTAGTAACCCACATAAATATCCACGCTAGGCTCTGTAAGAAGTACTTAGACAAATTGTGATGATCATCTTTCAGAGCCACCAGGATGGCCATTACCCCTACTGCAGGCCAGCACTGATAGTCTGTTGCCTTTATTTCTGTCTGCGTTGGCCCATGTGGCTCAGCAAGGACAGGTCTCTGTGCTAAGGCTGGTTTGTTTAATGACATCTGAAAAACAGGATGATGGGAAGCAGCAGCAGAACCATCTGGTCTCCCATTCTGTGTCCTAGAATACTTGGAATGCTTCTTTGTTTGAGGTAGTTGAACTTTTGCTGCCTGTTTTGGTTTTAAGTCTTATGAATCATATGGAAAGGGAAAGCAGGGCTCTATTTGGGCTGGGCTGGTGCTGAGGGATATTCCTGCTGAGGGTGCCTGTGCTGGTGGATGCTGCTTATTGCTTGCCATGTGCTGAAAAGCCAATGTCCTGTGCCTCTGTAAAACAGGCAGTGTAGTTTTGTGAATACATGTTAACTGTGGGGTTCTGTGCTCAAAAAATGCTGTTACAGGGATTGGCTCGATGTAATCAGTGTACAATAGCAGCAACAGTGCCCAATTGTTGTCCAGACCTTAAAGCAAGATGCCTTGCTGGGTGTCTGCTGCCCTCCCTCCCGGAGGCTCTGAGTGCAGTGGATGCAGAGCTGCAGCATCACCCATCGCGAGGGCTTGGAAGGGATGCAGTAGTGAGGCTTGGATTTGTTCAACTCACTGCCTCTCCCTCGATTTTAGCCATTCTTTTATGAAGTGCAGTGAGAATTCTGCAGAGAGCAGGCAAGTTCCAGCAGGAGCTTCCAAGCTGTAAGTCGTGTCATGTCCCCTCAGATAGACTGTGATGTAAAAATCCCCTGTGCTGTGGGCAGAGCTCCAGAGAGAGCAAACCTCTGCTCTGAGGTCGGATTAGGAGCATGTTCAGATAATGACATCTGAAAACAGGATGGCTGGGAGCTGCAGCAGAGCAACCAGGGGGCTTTGAAAGAGAGAGCAGTCTAATCCTCTCTGCTAATAAGGAGGCAGCTCCTGGCAGTGCATGGGGCTCAGCAGGCTCTGCTGTGCTGCTCCTGGGTTCTCTGACCGGTGGCAGAGGGCAGCAGGCTCAGACACCCAGCTGCTTTCATTGCGGGGAAGAGCAAAGCAGGAGGAGTTTGCTTTGCTTTCTTTGGGTAAAACGAGAGCTTTGCCACTGCTCCTTGCCTCCTCAAAACAGCTTGTTCAGGTCCTTGTCAATTGGCACCTGCTGCCCGTGCCTATCTGCCTCATAGAGCAGGTGGGGAAAGCCTGTTTCCAGAGCTGGTGAGGAAGTACCCAGGCCTGGCGTTTGTTCAGGTAGAACGGTGGGAACAAACTGCACTGAGCACCCAGGGTTTATCTTACCTGTTGTTCCTTTGCAGCTGGCACTCACGACTGCTGGCTCGGCTGCTCCAAGGCAGTGCTGTGGCAGTGTGGATGGAAGGACAAAATCTGCCCTGAAAAGGACTTTCTCATCCTCAACGGCAGTCACTTCTCTCTGCCAACACGTGGCACGTGCAAGGGACAGCAGCAGGAGGAAGCTACAGAGGGGCCAGGTAAGGAATGCTTCCTTTTAGATCTTGGATGTGTAGTGTACAGTTTTGTGTAGCCTTGTGAAGTTCCATCACAATATCTGGCTTCAGCATTGCATTTTGGTTCTTGTCAGTGAGATGACTGGTCCCATGCCTTCCATGCAGAGAGGATGGCCCTTGATTCTCTTTTGATAGGGTGATAATCACACAGCTCTAAATTTAGAGGGCTTTGGATGCCACTGTAAGGTTTCCTGTGTGTGCCACAAGCACGGTGCTACCTTGGGTCCCAGTTTGCAGACTGAGGAGGGAAGGGAAAAGTCAGAACGCAAGCGGCTGCATCTCTAATTCACATCCCCCATCAGCAAATCACAGAGGCATAAGCATCGCCTATTTCCTGCTATGGGGAGAGTTTGAGGGAACGGGGATTGTTTAGTGTGGAGAAGAGAAGCCTCCAGGGAGACCTCATTGTGGCCTTCCAGTTCTTGAAGGGAGCGTAAAAACAGGAGGGGGAATGAGGGTGGATAGTGATAGAAGAGGGGGGAATGGTTTTAAACTGAGACGGGGGAGGTTTAGGTTGGACATTAGGAGGAAGTTTTTCACCCAGAGGGTGGTGATGCGCTGGAACAGGCTGCCCAAGGAGGCTGTGGATGCCCCATCCCTGCAGGCATTCAAGGCTGGATGTGGCTCTGGGCAGCCTGGGCTGCTGGTTGGTGACCTGCACACAGCAGGGGGTTGGGACTGGCTGAGCGTTGTGCCCCTTTTCAACCCAGGCCATTCTGTGATGCTATGACTGATCGCCTCCATCACTGCCCTGGTGAACGTTTCAAATGGAACTGCAGCAAGGCTGCTTAAAAAGTTCGAGGCCAGAGTCCATAAAAAGAGAACTCTGTTCTTTTTGCACTTATCACCGCAGTGCTGGTGCTAAAAGTGGCTGTTAAGGGGGTGTGGGGGCATCACCAGGGCTGCTGTGCTTTAGAAGACCCGAACTGCTCTGAGATGTGTCAGCTGTCCAAAAAATAAAACACCTCCTCAGTCAAGAAGACAACTCCATCACTTGAAACTTTGGTTGTTTTTTTTTTCCAGTTTTTATTGAGTGAAAATGTCAAACCTTGCATCAGTCATGCAAAAAAAAAAAAAAAAAAAAAAAAAATCAAATAAATAAAACACATATATTAAATTTCTAATAGCACTAAATTCAAGTGGAAAAATATTCAGTTCTTAATAACGCAGGTGCTGAAGAGACCAGATTCAAGTAAATCAGAGCACACCGTCCTGTTTAGGGTGGTTTTTTTTTTCACTTTCTGCATTTTTGTCTCAAAACCTATATATATATCTATATATCTATATATATGTATATACATATAGATATATACACACACACATATATATGTGCATACATATTATTTTTATATTTATATATATACACATACATATTTATAAAACATTAAAAAGAGCATTGGTGGTTCAAGCATTTATTTCCCCCCTCCCCCACAGAAAGAAAAAAATAAAACAACAACAAAACAAAATTACACATTTAAAATTCAAAATGAGCTAGCAATGGCTTATAGTCCTAGTGTGCAATATGGATATTACAAAAGGCTAGAATTCTCCCTCTTTGTCTTTTTTTGTCTTTTTTCTTTATAGTTTTATGAATTTTTTTTTTCTTTTTTTTTTTTTTTTTTGTATAATTGAAAAAAAATTTTTTTTTTTTTTTTTTTTTTTTTTTTTCTTTACAAAATTCCTTCCACGCAGACTTTAATCCAGTTGAGTTTGTGGCTAGAAAGAACCGTCAATAGTTTTGATTTCGTTTTTTGCTCCTCAGCAGTGAATGGTAGCAGAATCAGGAGGGTCCATCCCAAGGATTATTTTGTTTGTTTTTCGTTTTGTTTTGGACAGAACAGTTCCATTTCCTCTCTCTTTCCCCCTCCTCACACAGTTTGCTCTCTCTCTGGTCATTCTGTGAGCACTTACAGCATCGTGGCAATGGTTCTGCCGATGCGATCGCATGAAGCGAAGAACCACCCCTCTGCAAAGGGCACCTCTGTGCTGCTGGGGCCTTTGTTCAGAAAAGCACTTAAGCGTGGGCTTCAATCTGCTCCAGCTCACAATGCTTAAGAGTTTTGCTGAATTAAAGCCTGAGCACGGCAGAAAAAGACGGGCTTAACTTTCTAGACTTGTTGTTGATGGATGCAGTGAGAGCTTTGCAGGTACAGGGCTGGGGGAAGGCAGGGCAGCACGCACCAGGCAGGGCCATGGGGCACAGGTCAGCCTCTTGGGAAAGGACCTGCATTCCCTGTGCCAGCTCCTGGAGGATGGGGAGAAAGGCTGAGACACTGGGGAGAAGTCAGGTGCCTGGAGGGGGAAGGTGGTGTGCATAGATAAACATGGGCCCCTCGGGCACACTGAGCCGCATGGAAGGAGGTGTGGAACAGCTCTGCAGCAGCGCAGGGCCCAGCAAAGAGCTGCAGCTTCCCCTCTCCTCTGTGCCTCGGCCTTCTCCTACTGCCTTGTGGTGGTTCAGTAGTGCAGCTTGGTGGGATGGGCTGGGGTAGAGGCACAGACACTGCGTGTAGCAGCAGGCAAGGCTCCTCTGTCCCCAGTGGTACTGAGGTGCCCCAGGGAGTGCCTGCCTTGCTGCTTGAGCAGCCCTGCTGGCTGTGCTCAGAGGATGGGGTGTGAGGGCAGGGGCTCTGCGCTGACCCCACAGAAGTCAGTTATGTCCATTGGGTGCCAAGTGAAAACGTCTGGTGTGCAAGATGGGGCCTGTGCTACAGCTGAGGGGCCTCCTGCAGCCCATCACCATACGATGTGAGTGGCTGAATAGGGGAAAAAGGGACAATTACAGAACCTGCAGCAAATGCCATTAAAGCAAAGGTCTTTGCCCCATCTCAGTTCTAGAAATTCCAGGTCTCTGTTCCCACACTCAGCCCCAGAAATGGGAGCTTCGTTACGTGTGCTAGAAAATACACAGCAGAGGGCAGGGGATATACCAAACAAAACAAAAACAAACAAAAGAATGAAACCCTGTAAAAATAAAAGCCACACAAAATAACTGATAGAGGAAAAGAACTCCAAAGTATTAAATAAACTACAAACTAGTAATAACAATATTTCATTTGTTTTCATTTGTTTCATCTCTACAAAATTCAAGTTAAAAATTCGGAATCGTGCAGCTCCGGTCAGTGCTAGGAGTGTGAAGTCAGCCTCAAACCACAGAGTTAAGGCCCCCCTCCCCTGCCACCCCCTACAAACAAACACTACATTGAAAAAAAAAAAAAAAAAAGAAAAAAAAAAATTGCACACAATTAACCGTATCTAAGGGCTTTAAGAAGGCAGGTGACCCCCCTCGTCCCCCTGGCATTGGTTGTTTCTCTTTTGTTCTATATATAGTAATAACCTTTACAGAAAAAAAAATACTGTACAACTTCTTAATTTTTTTTTTTGCCTTTCCTTTTGAAGCATCATGCGAACATTCTGTCCCCACATGTACACAGCCGTGCTGCTTGTTTATAAATCAGACCTGATCTACACCAGTTCCTAAGGGGTATAATTAAAAAAAAAAAAGCAATCTCAACTCCTTGAGGCCTTTATCTGCTCAGGGTAGAAACAAACTGTGGGGATCCCTTGGAGCTGAAGTGCTTGAGGAGGGGCTGCATGTAAGGAAAAAAAAACCAACCAGGCTTAAAGAGAAAAAGGGGCTCAGCTCAGACATGAGGAACCTTTCGCTAGGCTGGTGTACTTACAGACTGGCACTGAAAGAGCTATGACCAGAACGAGTCTGTACGGCTGGTCCTTCTGGAGCTGTGTGGATGCAGAGAAGCCCTCTTTCTCAGACTCTGGTGAGGATTTGGGGTCAGACAGCTACAACCTCACCTGCCCGAGTCCTGGGCAGTCTCCTGTAGTGTGTGTTCCCAGCCTGGGCTAGGAAAAGAGAGCAGGGAGAAGATGAACCTGTGACCAGGGAAAGCCCAAGCTTCTGGAGGCGGCAGGTCCCGGCTTATTAATCCCATTTACTCATGCAATGCCTGAACTATCAGCCCTACTCAGGAAAATGTATCAGTATGGGCACAGAAAAGCATCATTTTTTAGCTGGACTGCATCCTGGCCTCTGCTGGCATCTCCCCCCATCTGTCTGTGCTGTGTAGCTTGCGACAGCCTCACGTTTTGTGGCTGCAAGAACCAAGGCTAGGCAAATAGCTTTGTGGGTGCTGCAGAATGGTCCCCACCCAGTGCTGAGCAAAGAAGTGGGACATCCCACATGGGATCCTGAATGCCTGTCTGCCTTCTCCCTCTTCAGTGGTGCCTTCACCCTCTTCTGGAAGTCACCAGAGCTACATTTTAGTCCGTGCAGAAAGCCGTGCCCATCTCCAGTGAGAGGCAGGGGAGGAGGGCCTGGGGTGGGGACATCATACCTGCCATCATGGGACTGCGTGGGGCAGAGAGCAAGCAGTATTTTCAAGGCTGCGTTAACGGCTGGGATGCTCTGCTGTGAGCACAGTGCTCCTTGTGCTGCACCGTGGCACACAGTGTGTCAGCTCACAACCTCCTGACTCTACCGAGTCCTCCTGAGATGGGGATACTGAAGCACCACAAAAAAGCCTCACCCTCAACAGAGGGAAAGCACCTGGGGTTGGGATGAGATGGAACTGGATGGGAGTTGAACCCCAGCCCTCCAGTGTGACAAACCCTTTAACTGCCCGCTGCGCCCTTCCCGAGTTACTTCAGCTCAATCCCTACAGGCGGAACAGCAGGGATGGGGAGAGGTGCCTTACAGCTGTAGACAGAGAAAGTTTTACAATATAAATAGCATTCAAAATTATCATCATTAATAGTAAAAAGGATCTGGAAGAACAGAGGAGTGTCCCATTCCCACCCCTGCTCATTCATTAATGCATCCTCATTTGCGTGACAATAAATACCCACTCCCACCCTCTGCTGTCTGATGCCATCCATTTAATGCTGGAGAAAGAAGAGAGAGAGAGGGAGAAAGGTGGGGGAGAGAGAGCACCCCTCGCCCCCCTCCTTCCCACTGGCAAAAACTGAGCTAGTTGTCTTTGTGACACCAATTCCTTGCATATTATATATGTGTGTGTGTGTGTACATTATATATATAGAAGAGACACACACACAAATATATATTTCTACAATTCATTACCTGTTGTTCCCACCCACCCCCCTCCAAGAAGTGGAGATTATTATTAATATCGTACAACTGAAAACATGGAAAAAAAAAACAAACCCAGAAAGAAAAATGGGGGGACAGAACCCCACCCATAACAAAGGGTCCCCAGATGGGCGCAGGCCCCATGCACCTTTCAGGAGACAAGGAAAAGCAGCTGGTACCCTCGAGGTTCACGTCCATATAAAAGGGTACTTTTCTGCTGCATCCTGCCCCTGTGTTCTGTGATCTGCAGAATGAAGCAATGCAGCACCAGTCCCGCTGCGAACCTGTCTCTCTTACAGGGCCTGTGGAGTATAGGTTTCCTTCCTTCCTCTCTCTCGTGTGTGTGGCACGGAGTTTGTATTTCATTTGCCATCCCAATCTTTGTTCTTGCCTCATGTGGGGTCCCCTAAGTAATTCTGTAAGATCAAAACCAAACCACTGCTGCTGTTGTCTCTAGGATTAAGGAGAAGCTGCTGGAGCAACCGTAGAGGCTAGGGCAGCAGCGGGAGCCGGAGCAGGAGCTGAGGCTGGAGGAAGGGCAGGAGCTGCCTCGTCCTGCGGCCTGGAAGCATCACCATGGTCTGTGGAAGAAGAAGCACCCTCCTCTGGTTCCCCATCATCTTTAGTGGCCAGGCCCTCAGGGTCAGGCAGCGATTCTTCAGAATCCGTGTTCAGGTCTTCCTCTTCGTCATCCTCCTCATCGTCGTCATCGTCATCCTCCTCTTCATCATCCTCTTCTTCTTCGTTCATCTCCTCCTCGTCATCCTCTTCATCCTCTTGGGAAGAGTCATCTTCATCCTCCACCTCACCAGAGCCTGACGCCGCTGCCCCCGGCTCCTGAGGGCCGGTCCCGGCTCTGCTGGGGGAGGGCCCTTCAGCGACTTCTGACTGCTTCTTGCTGAGGTCCAGGGAGTCATTGAGGCCCACACCAGCCGCGTTCTGCAGGAAGAAGAGGGAGCTGCTGTTGTTGTCAGTGCTGAGGTTGAGGGAACTGTCCAGGTTGATGGAAGAGTTCTGGATGTCGTACTCAAGAGCGGAGTGGGCGAGGCCTTCGGGGCCAGGAGAGATGGCAGGCAGCTCCCCTCGCTCCTGCTTCTCATGCTTGCGCTTGTGCGAGTCCATCTGCGACATGCCCACCACCGTGTGTTTGCAGCCAGGGTAGGTGCAGTGGAAGTGGGAGCACTTGAGTTTGTACTTGCAGTCGGGCACCTCGCAGTCCACGCTCGAGCTGAACTGGCAGAAGCCGGCAGCGCTGATGACATCCTGCTTGCCGTGGTGCTTACGGTGGGCTGTCACCTTAGTGCTGTCAGTGCAGCGGAAGCCGCAGCGCAGACAGTGGAAGTGTGTGCTATTGCCAGAGAACTGACAGTCTGGGAAGTTGCAACTCAGTGAAGACTTGAAGCGCTTGAAATCATCCAATACCAGGTTGTCAACGCGGTCGTGGTGCTGGGCGTGCTTATACATGTGGGTACGGCCGCAGAACTTGTAGCCACAATTCTCCCGCGTGCAGTGGTAGTGGGTAACCTTGAGAGAGAATTGGCAGCTGGAGTCCTTGCAGTCCTCGTAGAGGTCGTAGCGCCGAAATCCCTCCAGCATCATCCCTTCATCCAGCATCTTGCGTGAGGATGCAGTCTTGCGGCGCTTGCCAAACGGGGACATGTCCTCAATAATCCAGAAACGCTTTTTGGCCCCCGAGGCAGTTGGCATAGTGATGGTATTCCCTGAGGAGAAAAAGTGAAGAGTGCTATTGCTGACAGGTCTCTCCTCATCCCCTAACTGTCCTGGCAAGTTCTCTATTTGCACAGGCAACACCACAACAGTCCCCCCCAGCAGCTCATCTCCCAGCTCTCAGTAAGCCTCGGCTCTGGGGCTGCTGGCTGACTGGTGCTGCACATCACTTCCTTTCATTTTCAGCACGTCCCCCCTCGCCTCCAATTGCCACTCTTGTATAACTTAATATTATCCAAATACCGCTGCTCCTTTTCTGTTTTGCAAATCTGAGAGTTTCTCCTGCTGCTCAGTTATCTCTAGTCTTGCTTTCCTCTTAAACTAAACTTTAATGCAGAGGAGTTGGCTTCTTTCAGTCCAAGGGCTGATGTGTTTTACAGCAGTTCATTGTGGTTCAAGTAGTAAATGAGTTTAAGCGTTTTAAAACCAGCAAGTGTACACTGCTTTCCCCTACCCAGGCTCCTTGTGAGCAGGACACCATAACACACTACAACTGCCAAGGGCAGGCAGGAAGTGGAGGAAGATCCCATGCGTGATTGAAAGTGCAAGGGGGGGAATTTATAGAAATAGGATGGACTTTGGCCAGGAGACTGCAACATCCCTCACTGTAATGAGCCTACATATTACGATGAGTGCACTTAGAAAGACAGATGGACAGATGTTCAATGGAGCCAATTCTCATCACCACTAGCCAGCGGACTCCAAGAGAAAATACCAGTTCTACAGCTTTCCCATGGGTCTCAAAAATCACATGATGCCCCTAGTAAATAAAGAGCCCTCATCCATCTTCCAGTTTCATTCACAGGGCCTGCACAACTGGCTAGTGCTCGTGTCCCCTAGGATCCAGCTGACATCAAGGACTCGACCTCATTATATCTATTAACTTTTTTTTCTTCTCTGCTTACTATTTCCAGAATCAAAATCTCTAGGACCAACATGCAGCAGACGAGGTTGGAGGCAAGAAGAATTTCACACCAGGTGCAAAACTGTGAGTGTAATTGGAAATTATAGCTTGCAATTAAAACACGCTTTTTTCCTTCTTTGCCCTCCACCTTCATGCTGAGATTGCCATCCTTTCAAAGAGAGGCACAATTTGAGACATGCAGTGCATGGAACCTGAGAATCCAGAGCAGCCCGTATCCTCGTCCAGGAGACTGAGGCAACAGTCATTTGTTCAAATGCTGTGGGATCGTTTTCTCCTTGCTGACAAGCAGGTATAAAAGCAATGGATGCTATCTTTGCTATACCTGCCTTGCTAGCTTGCAACTCTTTAGATGAAAAGGATTTGGACGATTATCCAAGGAAGCCTCCAAATGTTAAACATACACCATACTGAAAGGTGCAGGTCTACAGGCAGGGTAGCAGCAACCTGACCTCCCCATACAGTGGCATCCTGGTGTGCACGGGCTATACAGGTTGCTGTGTGAGCAGAGAGCAAAAGATCTTTCACATCCATTCGTTTCATGCACTTGTGCTCAAACTGCAAATAAGAGCACCAGTTTGGGGCATGCATGCTGAGATCACTGTGGTGGAACTGCACACGAAGGCTAGTTTAACCAGCTGCCAGTGAAAGAGTAGCTTTCTATCACTGCTTATTTTCTATTAGCAGTAGAGTCCACGACCAGATCATTCTGCATCCCCCCTTGCAAATGTACTGTAAAGTCTTCTCTGCTCCTAGGCACACCTGGACAAATCCCTGCGATCCACATCAACTCCTTCCTCCCCCACCTACAAGAAATTACAGCCAAACCACCAAGAATGGATGCTATTCTTGTTTGCCTTCACATAGTACTGCAGGATGAGGCATTGTAAAGAGAAGACAGAATACCTGGGAAATAAAGAGAATTTGGAATCTGACCTGTTTAAAACTCAATGCATTTGCTCAGCTTTTACAGCAGCCCAAACAGATGTGCTTAAAACTTCAGCTGAACCAATTTTGTTTTCCTCATACAGCAAAGTTTCAGAACAAGGGTATGAAAAAGAAGATAACCTGCTACACTCATCAGCCATTGGACAGCGTTCAGTCCCTAAAGCTCAGCTGGAGATTATAAACCTCAGCAGATTTAATCCTGACCAAATCTCAACAGTAAGTGTAATGCCATAAGCTTGTCTTCTCAACTAATAACAATGTAAACACTTCAAAAAACTATATGAAGATCAATAGGTAAAAACAAAAGAAACTTAAAAATATGTGATTAGAGAAAAGAACAACACAAAGTAAGATATTGTAGGTAGCATGCAAATCAGTTAAAAATACAGTTTAGCATGTATTTTGGTCACTAGAAAACACTGTTCTGGATGGGGCGGATGCTTCTCCAGCCAAATCCCATGACAAAAACCTCTGAACTTCCAAGCAGAGCTGGTCCTCCAGCCATACTTCCCCACCATTTGCCCCAGATTTGCATGTTACTACACATGCACACACTAAAGCTGGCAGGAAGAATGACTGGGACGTTTATAGGCTGCCAGAATCCTCTTTAGTGTGAAACAAATATGCTCTTGATTAACTAGAAAAGAGCTGGGAGTTGGGAAAAGAAGCCAAAGCTGAGACACACCCTAAAAACCATTCCAGCCAGAATGAGAATCCCCAGCCTGAGCCACCTCTGATCTTAGTCACACATGGGAAACATGGCAGCCTGAAACTAAAGCTCTAAATGTATTGTGTGCAGCTGTAAGAGCAGCTGCAAACCGTGAGTGTGAGAAACAGCCCGAGATGCCTGATGATGTCATCAAAGTGACACTGACTGTACTTCCCTCTGCTACTTGTGCTGAGGAAAGCAGCCCTGAATTTTATGGTTTTATATGTGAACAGGAAGCAGTGAGGCTGAAAGGAGCTATAAAACTACTGGAGCTGGGTACCCTGTCAGACATTGACCTACCAAGATGTACACAACACCAGTAGGCACTGGCCTAGGGGGCCTTGAAGTTCTAATGCAGAGGTCCAAGTTCATTAATGCTACAAGAGCAAAGGTCTGCTTTGTGGCCATCCTGCTGTTATCAAGAGCTGAAAAGTGAATTTTTACACTATGGGTTATTGCTCGATTTCTCTCATAGTTTGGAGTTGGCTTGAAAATTCTCTCAGGTATCTGAATTTTTCACAATGATCTGCTCTGCTTTTTGGCTGCCCTTCATAGCTGTGGTTACCATGTCAGCAGACAAAGGGAGCAGGCATGAAGGGCCCTTGGATAATGTTAAGTGAGACACAGAGTGACAAAGGCTTTTTTTTAACTGACTCAAAAGGTGCAGAGAAAAATGTGGGCAAGGTGAGTGGGGAAGGAGATGGGCAAAGGACACTAAGAGAGAAAGCAAAGTGTTACCTGCTGCATCCTGAACTAAGGGAACGTCACTTTTTACTGGAGTTGGAGTGGCAATGATGGGCGAAAACCCAGTGGTGCTGGCGGCAGGCATGACAATGCCTCTGCTGGATCCAAGAGTGGCACTGAGCAGAGAGTATGAGAGACAAGATGGAGAGAAAAGATAGGGGAGGGTGGGAATGGGAGACCTAAGCAGGGCTTGTGAGAAAGATGGAGGCAGAGGTGGAGGTTGAGGTGCATTGTGGGTAGCATCATCGGCAGCAGCAGTGGCAGTAGAAGGAACCAGGCAGCCTGGAGAACGTGGAGAGAGAAAAAAAAAAAGCAGAAAAAAAGGAAAACAAAAACAAGAAACAAACAAACAAAAAGAAAAAAAAAAGAAAAAAATAAAATGAGAACCCAAGAGCGGAAGCAGTATGATGAAAATGGAGAATACATTAACAAATGTACGAAACAGAACTGTAACAGAGAAGAAACAGAAGGTGAGGAACTGACAGCATCAGGAAGAGGAAGGTTGTCTCTGCAGAAGGTGAGGTGGCTTTAATGGCATGGAGGAGCAGCCACAGGCTTTCAAGCAGAAATTCCTGCTTGTCTGGTCCTTGCACATTTCTGCGGTGCCAGCTCGTGCCAACTAACAACCACGAGCCCTGTCTCAGCTCTGGGCAGGGGCAGTTGCTCACTACCTGCATAGCAGTGAGGGGCCTTTTCCTAGGAAATGTGACTTGCTGGGATGGTGCTGGAGAGAGTGCCAGAAATCACTGTCCCACCAAAGCTCTCTGGAGGAGCTTTAATGCCATGGTGCATCCACTGTCACAATGCAGCAGTGCTCATCTGATGGTAACATATGGTTAGATGTGCTATTTTATAACCTTCATATATGTGCTATGGGAATGCAAAGCAGGAGAATGTTGGTGAGATTAAAGCAAACTGAGGGAGGCAGACTATCTAGAACACACCTCACCCTGGGAAGGACAGCTGAGAGATCCCTGAATCCACACTAGATGATAACAGAATTCGTAAGAGAAACTAGACTTCTGAAGAGATAACTACGTAACAACTACGTGGTAACTATGGGGCAGGAGGAGATGGCTGCTTGTTATCCTTGCAAACAGGAAATAAGGGCAGAAACTTATTTCTAAAAAGAGGAGAATGATGGCAGTCTCCTCTGTGTAACACTTTGCAAAGTGGCACAATGGTTTTTGCACGAGAAAGGGAGCCCAGTGAGCTGCTGTTATGTGGTGCTTTCTGAAGACAGGGTAGTCTTTTTTCCCCTTCTGTATCTAATATTTGCTATTGTACAGCCTTTCTGTACCTCAGCACTATTTAAAAAAAAGTCTGACTTCACACGTTGCACAAAAAAAACCCCAAAAGATAACTGGGGAAATGCCAGGGACAGAAAGAGCCCCACAATTCTTAATTATTATTATTTTTTAAAGCAACTATACAACTGGATCCAGTCCAAAACATGGGATAAAAACCTCTGTCCAGGGGAAAAGAAAGATGCACTGTTAGTTCACAGACCCCTGAGGTGCACTTTCTGATGCATCTCTTGTCTCAATGATGGAGGGAGCTAAGTTACAAGACACTACCATGAAACAAACACAGTTTATAAGGTGCAGTTGTCCTTTATCCTCTCTCCATGAGTTAGTCTCCCAAGAGAGTAGGTAGCTGACTATCCATTTCACCCCGCCTTACCTGCTGATGTACTTTCATTGCCCACTGGAGTGCTGGAGCAGCTGCGGTCCATATTGGAAGATTCAGAAGAGATCCCCCCAGGGCTACAGCCAGTGTAATCCATGTACTCATCTGTTTCAGTGTCCATCATGCTCGGGGGTCCCTGAAAGGAAGCCGGGGTTCCTGATGAGGCTGGGCTGGGCGCCATGCTGCCAACCTGGGGGAGATTTTCATTTCTTGGAGTGTGGCCAATAACCTGCAGCAAGAAAGCAGGATGGGGACTTTCACACCAAAAGCAAGATGCCAAGACCAAAACCATCTGTCGGCACGTTTATTTCTCTCTGCCACTGCTCATGAGGAATAAATGGAACATGCTCATGAGTGAAACCCATGGCACTGTGGCTAGCAGCATGCATCTTCCTTCACTGGGAGCTCTGAGCATTAAACTTGGCACGTGTATCCTGGTATGTGAATTGTGATGCGCTCAGAGGCTGGGAGTGTTAATCTTGGCAATGATATCCTGGTGCACGGATTCTGATGCATTCAGAAACAGGAGGTGTTGATCTTGGCATTGCTGTCTTACGGTGGTAGGTCCTGCTGCATTTAGGGACAGGGAGTACGACTACTGGCCCTAGTGCCTGCCTGCTGAGACATGCAATGGGATCACAGGCAGAAACCAGTGACCTGAGTGTGTGCTGCTGTGCTCATACAGCTGCTGTGACCTGGTCACCAGTGGATAGATGCACCTGGACAGGTAACCAGAAGCAATGCATAACCAAATGTATCAGTAAGTGCCTACTAAGCCCTAAGGAATAGAGAAAACTGGAGTTAGGATATAAAAATACAGAATGGCAGTGGCAATACAGCATGTAGCTTTGCTATACACAATTTCAGCAGCAGCAGCTAGTGGAATTAACCAATTAATTTAGTGACAGGGAAGAACAACTAAAAGGGACTTCTCATCCCCATGTTGTGGAACGAAAGGGGGTTCCCATCGTGCTTTCACAGGTGGCACCTTTTGCTTTACACATACCAGACAATGTCCTAAGGGGTAGATCAGTCACAGGGGTTTAAATAAAGCTTGCTTGTTTCATCTCTTAAGTCTGGGGGCGTTAAAGCAGGGATAAGAGGAGCAAAGAGGAGGTTGCAGGACTGCTGCCATTCTGAGCAGGTGGTCAATGCTGCAATTTGAGTTTATTTGTGCAACAGACAAACCAGTTGCTGTCAGCTGTGTTAGGAAATAAAAGTGACTGCACTGCCCTGCGTAACTCCCAGTCAGCAGAGAAATGTTGAGACTGGTATTCCTCCCAGCTGAGATAGAAGCAGCAAATAATTCTTTATGTGCAACAGGAAATGTTTGCTTTAACCAGTGTGTTCAATTCTTCCACATCCTAAGCACTTCAATTTTAATAAGCCAATTGGTGTATACTGAAGAGAGCAGGGAAGGAGTGCAAGTTGTAAATATGAATATTTCAGTGTTATCCTTTGAAATGTTTCTCTGTAGTACTCACAAGGAAAGGCTGTTTAGATTAAGTAACGCTTTGATGTCTACGCTTTATCATCTCTCCTCATATTACAGAAGTCAAAACAGCCAAAGCTAGCTTAGGTAAACTCATGCTTCCCAGGTGTGCTCCTCAGTACAGACACGTATCCTTAAGACTGGCTATGAGTGCCTTGGAATTAATGCAGTTCTGCAGCAGGTAATCAATGGTTCTATCACTACAGTCAGACCTACAATGTAAAAAAAAACAAAAAACAAGACCAGTGACTCACCTGAGTAGGAACACGATCAAAATTCTTCCCCAGCATCCTTCTCATGTGCTTTCTGGCATGGGATGTCATTTGGTGCTTCAGCAGGAAGGAGAACTGGCAGCCTTCTCGAATACAGTGGAAGTGGCTGTTCACCTGGTTGTATTTGCAACCTGCAGACACAGAGCCTACATATGTAGTACATGAAAGGTACCAAGAAGAAGACAGACCATAAGGAAGATGGTCTGGAGCCAGGACAAGACTGCTGTTACAGGGATTTCTGTTGGATTGGAGATTATCAGTGGCCATGGGCTCTTCAGGAGCAGTCATGAATGAAAATAGCAGGTTTCTTGTTTTTTGTTTTTCTTTTTGCCTGCTCAGCAACTGAAAAAGAGGGTTACACTTAAGAAGGGGACCAGCAGCAGACCAGTCCCATCCCTCTTTGTTTTGTTATAGAGAAAGTAACCATTATTTTTAGTAGTGTCCAATACTCCCCAGTCTTAGCCAGTGCATTTTCTTTTCCAAAGGGAATAAAACCAAGACATTTGACTGTATTGTCACATTTACAGTTGAAAATATATGCTCACAAGTAGATTTGAAAGGAAAAGTTCTTTTTCTCCCTTTAACTATGCTCTCTGAACAGGGGAACAGTTGCTTAGAAGCACCAGCTCCTGGACAGGACAGCGTACGCTGCCTGGTCAGACAGAAAAGCTAGGAAGTGTTTACTGCCACTCCAAATGAGCAGTGTAATAGGGGCGGCCACTAAACAATTTATAGAGCTGTGGTACACCACACTGCACAGAATCATAGAATACCCCAAGTTGGAAAGGACCCATAACACATTCTGCTCCTTGCAGAAACTGCCATGTATGCTGGGAGTTTGTGTATCTTGTTAACAGACTGTCCTGAATAGCTGCATTCTGCAGCAGACAAATAATGGCTTATTGCTCTGTTTTTACTGCAGCATCAACAGTCGGGTTGTGCCTGCTCTCCATCATCCCCTGTACATCACCTTATGCACACACAGGCACAGAGCCCCAGCTGTATTCATCTGTCTACACCCACTGCCTTTACTTACATCCCTATATACAGTTTTCACTCTCTCTGTACGTATACACAAATACACCTATACTTACATACACAAAAACATATAATATTAATCTATTGATCTAATATGCGTGTGTTCACCAACTTTCACAGCCCCTCAAGCAGGCCAGTGCTTCTGCACCTGCTGTATGCATACTTAACCTACAACAGAGAGCTGCACAGCAAAACAGACATGCGTTTACATGCTGGTATGCTCATCTACACCCACACAAACACATCCACCTACCCCATCCAGCACGCTCCCTGTCTCTACGTAGGCCAAAGCAGAGAGCTGGCTAAACATACACTTCACACACGGCAAGCCCAAGCTATAGGCACTTGTACATCCCAGTGGATGCGTGTACCCCTCCGACCCCCAAATAAACACTGCTGACACAGGCACAGCCCATAGCCATCTCGCTGCCAAGCAGCTCCTGAATCACCCAGCCCATCTTTAGCTCACAGACAGCGTTTTATGTGCAAGCCAAGTTGGTGTTTGTTTAGGTATTCCACTCCCCCACAGCCCCACCTCGTTTGTCCTCCCCATCACGTCCCGTTCTTCAGGATGAAGAACAAACAGCGCTGGTGGGATTGAAACGGTATCAGCAAAGGGCAGGTGAAGGCTCGCCCGTTGCCAAGGCAGCCGTGTAGGCTGGGTGTCATGTATCACTGTCCTGCTTTGTCTAACCCCTTCTATCACCTGAAACGCCTAAAGTTGAGTAAATAACAGCAACTGCTGAATCCAGTGACATGTGTAAATGAGACCTAGGTGAGTACTGGCTCTGGAGTGTTGACACTCATTACCCCAGTTACCACAAACAAGTTGCCATTTGGGTACAAATTCCTGCTGTTTGGTTCTGCTTACTGTGGCTGTTACCCTGCAATGCTCAAGAACGAACAACATCGGGCAGGAGGAATGGACAAGAAGGTCAGACGTGTTATTCCAAACCCCACTATGATTCAGCCTTAAGCCAGGACCAATAGGAAGATTGGCTTTGTGATAACAGTAAGGCAAAAGGCAACGGAGCGAGCCCTGGGAGGTGAGGATGGAGCTGAGCTGCAGCTTTCCCTAGGGACTGCCTCCAGCACAGAGCGCTGCGCTTCAGCTCGAGGACACCTCCCTGGGAACGTGTTCTGCTTTCTGTTGCTGCACGTTTGTTTTACCAGCTTTACACTAGAGGCTCTTAGATTTAATAACTGCTATAGTGCTGCTAATAGTTTTGGCAAATGGGCAAGCCATGGTGTGAGGCTGTGTGCACGGCAGGGTTTCCTTTGGCTGCGTGCTGGTGCAGGGCTGCCATGAAGGCACAGTGCTCGCTCTGCTGCTCACAGACAGCTGTGCAGAACAGGGTCAGGAGAAAGGAGCAGTTTACTGCATGCCCTTCTCTGTACTTCTGTCTCAGGTTATTTACCCTTTGGCTTTCAGGATGCAGCCCTGGCAACAGCAACAGAAAAACAAAAGTCATCTGAAGCTGCGTGGAGTCAGGCACGGCCGCAGCCAGAGGTCGATACAGCAGGACTCTGCATGAGAGTCTCATCAGAACAGACATTTCCCATATGCTGCTTTTACTCCTAAGAGCATCCTTCAACTCTGCCCAAGACAAGCAGTAGGTCCAAAGACTGCAAAGTCTCCCCCCAAAGAACAAGAAAAATAAATATTTTTAAACGGCCTTTAAAATCAAAAGGAAGAACAAAGGGGAACCTGTATCTCCAAACAAGTGTGTGTGTATGTACATAAAATCCTCTGTACTACAGCTCCTAGTCATATAAGATCTTTGATCTATTTGAGAAAATAGGAATCCTCATGCCTCAACACAGGGAGATCAGGAACTGATTTCTGGTTGATCTGTTTCTCGTTTAGTAATTTAATTAGTCTAACTCATATGCTTTAACTCATTCCATTCTTATCCTGGGCGTAGGAAAGACGTGCAAAGGGTGAGGGAGCAAGAAGACAACTCACCTAATCTGCCACATTCTTCTCGCTTGGTGAAATACTTGAAGCCATTGGCTGCCCTCCTCTCTGCCTTCTCGTGTTTCTTCACGTGCCAGGGCAGCTTGGTGGTGATGTTAGTCACAAAGTAGCAGCCAGGACGAAGGCAGTGGTAATGCCCTCGCATCCTGAATTCACAGTGCTGGAAGAGAGCAAGTAGGTGGGTTACTTAAAGCACACGTGAAACAAATGCACTCTCGTTTGCCTGCTGCTAATGCTGTCCCTCTGAGAGAAGAGAGGTGTGAGCTGATACTCTGGATTACATCCACTTTATTTTCCATGAGCCACAAGGCAAACTTGTGCCCTGCCACGTATTCTGCACTGCACTGTTCTACCCTGAAATATCCCAAACCCCAGCCAAGATTCCATCACTTCTCTTAACTTGTGGGTTTTCCCAGTAGTCACAGAGCTTCACTTCATATCATCCTGCAGCTCTGAGCTCATCTGAGCTACCCTGCCCACCCAAGTCACACATAAAAAGCAGTGGGATTTCTTGTTCAATGGAAACCCGACAGTAGATCAGGTAATTAAGATCCTTCTTCCACGGATCTGTCATCAGACCAGGAATGAAACCCTTGGCCTCAGTTCCTGTTGCACTGCCTACTTGTTCCTGCACACATCCTCAGGATGGGACACTCTGAATCACTCTTACCTGGTTTGGACAGAGACACTGCAGAGAATAGTAAGCAAACTGGTCTCGCACATTCACCAAATTATTGTTGGGGTTGATGTGGTCCAGGCAGTGGGATTCTGCTTTGCCAGAGGTTTTGCACACATACTTGCAGTTCCCAAAGAGACAGTGGAAGTGGAATTTATTGGCATACTTGCAGTCCGTTGCCAGGCAGGGATCACTGGAATACAGCCAAAACCCAATCATCACCTTCACTCATTTCACACATTTGTTTCTTTGCCAACATTTAATTCAAGGGGAGCCCAGCTGAAGTCTCTGTTCCAAACATGGCCTACAGATTTCCCATAGCCTCCTTTCTCTTTAATAACATTGATGCTGGCAATACTACTGCAACTCTAACAAGTCTGTGCACTTTCTTAATTAAGATTATTAAAATACAGCAATGCATGGTGGGATCTGTAGTTTCTGAGGGCCACGATTCTAATTTAAAGCTTTCTTTCAAGATCCAATCCTCAGTGGTAATTCAGACACCTCGTAATCACACTGGTAAATGCCAGGTCTTGCCCCAGTTAGACAAAATCTGCAGCAGTCTCGTTAAACACCGAAGTGATTTTGGCTTCTTACTCCCCCTGCTTTTGAACTGTGCACACAGAGGTCAGATAGGAGGTAGCTGAACACTGATCTCTTGGATGCTGAGCACTGTATCCAATGTTACTTACTCAGGGACATGAAAAATAATTAATACACTTCCTTGGAAGCAGACAGATGGCTGTCAGTGCATGGCGTGACAGTCCATCAGCCTCAACAACTAAACTGCAATGCCCAACCTGACTGTAGACTCTGAGGCCTTCTGTAAACCACCTAACTTCTGCTCATCTGTACACCAGAAACAGAACCATCATCACAGCACTGTACTTTTAGTTACCTTACAGCTGTAAAGATGCTACGCTCCCCTCTGTTGCCTTTAGCATCAAAAATACTGCAAAGAACATTTATTTCTGTTTACCTCCCATGAGGTATAAAAAAAAAGGCTGCAGTGATACGTACATAAAGTTTATTTCTCCTCTGAACTCTTATCTAAAAGTGCTCCCAGATGTACTGGAAAATCCTGCTGTACATTTTTCCCCCTAGCATAGTTGAGGCTATGTTCTAGAGCTTATAGAAGCAAGTTTTCTTCAAGATAAAGCCTAGACTGTCTATTGGACAGAAGGCACCTCAGTGGGTGAATGCAGATGTCGAATATAACTCCAAGGAGCAGTAAAGAGGGGACTGCAAAATTGCAGAGGACACAGGGGGGCAAGCAGCATCTCCAACAACTTACTTCTCCTGGAACTGGAGAAATCCGGGTTTGACCTGAGGCTTGGCGTTCTCCAGGGAAGTTGTAGCCAAGGGTGAGGTTGCCAGGTTAGGCACTGATGCTGGAATCTGAGGCATTTGGGGTATGGTTGAAGCCAGCTGCTTCCAAGCTAGCAGTGTGGGGGCAGAGGGCACAGTTGCTGGGCTCGGGGTGGGCACGTCCAGGGCTGGAGCACTCGCCATGGTGGCAGATGTAGCAGATGGTGACGAAGGGCCCAGTGAAGCCTTACTGTCAGTAGTAGTTGAGAAGGGAGACTCGGAGTTACTTTTCACAGCCCCACCCTCGGTTCGGAAGTGAAAACTGCAAAGAGACAGTGCGATTTGACATGACATCAAACACTGCATATAACAAATATCAACAGAACGCCGCTGCAGTCTATAAGCAAACTAGCTGAGTGAAACCCTAAAAGGGACTCTGTGCATTTTGTGGACAGTTGTAGGGCCCTCTGAGAAGATCTGTGAGGAGAAGGGAATTCATTAGGTGGGGTGGAGTCAGAAAGGTGTAATAATGTGTTAAAGTCAGAGCAGCGCGAGAATGGCTGCAGCCAGAAGATCGGTACAAGTGAGGGTTGCTTCCCATGGCTGGTGAGAAGCCAGTCATTTGTAGTAGTGAACTACAGGGAAGCATCCAACTCCAAAGACCAACTGTGCTGACAGATCCTCCTACCCTAAACTTCATCACATCCCCTTCCCTCTAAACCTCATCGGACACAGCCATGCGGCCAGCTACCAAAGGCCACACTCACTCTTTCTTCAGGCTGATCTTCCTTTGCCTTTAAAAGGAACGTGCCATGGGATTAAGCTACAGATTATGTCCTGTACAAATTAATTCTACAGAAAATTTGCAGCATCCCAGCCTTCATCTGATAGTTCCTCACTGTGTCAATGGGAGCGTATCTCATCTTCATTCTTCACACAGGAGTCACCTGGAGCTGAGCATGCTGCACAGCTGCTGTTACAAGACAGGCCATGACACCTAGTTCTGGCTACCAACGCCTGGGCTGTCTGCTGCTTTCCAAAATGATGTAAGAGTTTACAACACAGAATACTGCAAGGTGAGCAGGAGGTTGCTGTCGAGCTGGACGCTTTGTTTCCTTTCAAGAGCCTTACCTATATGGTGCCAACATCTTAAAGCCACATGAATAAAGGGTTAGAGGAGGCTTGTTAAAAAAGATTTGTCATGACAGGAAAAATAAAATGCTTTCCATACTGCAGTGACGGGAAGCTGTCTGCTCTACAACACGTCCGCATCCAGCCTCAACAGTTGGGGTTTACAGGCTCCTTTCCCCCCTCACATTCTGTACTTTCTTTGTATCTGGTGTACTTGTATGCTGAGAAATATGGGTCTCCTTGAACACACCATCAAGTAGGCTATGGAAAAACACAAATGTCCAATTCTCTACCTTGCCAGTGCTGCACAAGATGTCAGTCACAAGCTGTAATGCTACAGCATGATGGAAAGTACATCCATGATAGTGAGGTGGCAAAGTCTGAGGCTTCAGCAAATGAGGACAAACCCACGTGCTGCAGCCGTGGATGCAGAAACAAAGGAAGAAAATTTGCTTACCTTCAGGAGGCCTCAGGCAGGCAGGGATCTCCAGTGAGATACCCTCACCTCCACTGCCAGCCCTTAAAATGAGGGCTGGGAAGGGGTGGATCCTGGCTCCAGCCCTTCTGGTCACTCAGTGCATTTGCATGCAGCTGAGCTCCCTTGGGTCAGCCCTGCCTTCCCACCAGGTGCTCAATCACTGGTGCAAGCCATGACTTGGCATTTCCGCTACACAAACAGAGCACATTTATTGTGAAACAAAATCGAAGAGGACACAGTGTTCTGCAGAAACTTTAGCTGAGCACATTTACACAGGGAACGAGGGGATGCCCAAATGGCTGCTGCAGGACTGCTCTGTGAGGCCTCCCCTCCTGCGCCGCGCGGTTCCCAAAGCTGGAGCTCCCCTACTCACTTGGCGTGCTTGATGGCTCCATCCAAAGTGCTGAAGAGGGCACCGCACTCCTCCACGACGCAGTGGAAGTGCACCTTGTGCAGGAAGTCGCACTGCGCATCGCAGAAATCCTTGGTTCCAAACCTGGCCAAAGCAAACAAACAGGCATCTTACACAGGGCCCCAGGAGAGAAGCGGTGTTGGAACAGACATGGAAGAAATGTTTCTTTTTGTTTCTCAACTCTAATAGCATCATTTCTCATGTCACCGTCCCTCCTGCACAGACTGGCATTGCTGTTGGATCACGGCTGGTTGCACAGATCTGAATACAGAGAACTTTTCCTCAATTGAGTCCTTCTGACTGAGGAACTCGCATTCACTTTTAGTAAGAGTAAAATACAGAACAAATCTGATAAAAAGATGAAAAACCATCAGTGTTGTTGAGCATCTGTGTACACAACTCAGAGCAGAGGGGAAGATCAAAGGTTAGTGAACCTGCCTGAATTTATTGGGAGTAGCAAAAAGAATTGAGCAAGGGAATCTAGGTCCAGAACACTCCCACCCAACATGCATACTGGCAACAATAGGCTATCACACAGATGGGAGAAACAGGAGAAACAAAGCATCACCTACACAGCAATTACAGCCTAATATGCAGAGAGAATCGTAGAGTCCCTAAGTACACATCTACAGTACATCATCTAAAGCCATCTCAGAGGAACTGGTCAAGAGGAGAAAAACAAGCAAGAATGGTTTCACTGCTCATCACTGCTGAGATTCTCCAAACTTAATGGCAGCAGCACAGTACATGTGATTTCAGGAAACTTCAGAATGGAGAAATCAAGTGAAAAATGCTGGCAGGAAGGATCTGAAACTTAACAGGGGAATCTTGCATAATTAAGGTACAACAGACTACAATTGCTCTGATGAGCAGGAAAGCAAGAAACAAACAGCAGCCTGCGTGGTCCCAGGGGAAACCTCCTAACAATCTGAAGGTAGAGAAAGAAGAAAGAAAAAATAAAAAATCATGTACTGGAGATGAAAAGGCCAGTGGATGTAGAACACATGCAGTCAGTTAAGGCTCGCAGGGAGAAGATGGCAGAAAGTAAAGGTATGATAAGAGAAGAGATAAGAAACCAAGTTACTGCAAGCTAAAGGGCTTCTTTTATCAAGGTCGAGAGGTTTTGTACTTAAAAAAAAAAAGCCTGATAAATATGCCAGGGAGGTGATGAGTCGAAAACAGCCGCCTTATAAAATATGCTTTGGACAAGGAAACTAAAGACAAGACAGACAATTAGGGCTGAAATGAAGACCTCCTAGAAGAGCAGATAAAGAGACTGGTTGGAAAATATAAATATGTACAAATCAGCCAGCCTGGATGATGCATGTCCTGAAGCGCAATGGAAATTAACTCACAAACTGATTGCATTACTATTTGTTATTTTTTAAGCCATAGAGAAGAAGGAGATACTAGAAAACCGGAGAAAAAAAAGCCAACCAAAAACCAACCAAACAAATCTGGGCACTGATTCTTTGAAAAGAGGAAAAGACAAGTGATCTTTGGCAATTATCATACCTCTAGTCTTAACTTCTCCTTCCAGTAAAGTAATGGAACAAATATTAAGAGGGAGGAGAAAATCATTAAACATCTAGAGGATAAAGGAACCACGAGCAATAAACAGCATCGGGATTATAAAGAATAAATCTTACTAGACAAATTTAATTGCTTTTTTTGATAGAATTACAAAATTAGTGGATGAAGGGATGCAATATATTTGGATTTTAGTAAAGCGTTTTGATACAGTCTCGCATATGCTTAGAATTAATTCAAGTTGGCTTGGATGGGAAAACAACCACATGGATTGAGAACTGGCTGAAGGACCGTAAACAAAGGCTAATGACAAACAGCTCCGTATCGAGCTGGGAGGAGGCATCTTGTGAATGCTGCAAGGATGACTTTGGCTAGGTGTGAGCTTATTTAACATCTTCATTAGCAGTCTAGGAGAAGGAGTAAATAGCGGCTAATGAAATTCACAGAAGATACTAAACTGGGAGGAGTTGGCAACACCAGTGCTGGAGGAGAGAAATAACACAGAGAAGCCTTGCAAGACGTGGAGGAAGGTTCCAATCTGACAGTCATATTTGGAGAAAACAGCTAATCCATCTGGGGGGTGAGGAGAGTGTTTTTATACATAGAGGACTCATAAGAACAACCTTACCAGTAATCATGTCTAGCAGTTGGTGGTAAGCATGATACATATACATAATGAAATAGAGATGTAAACAAGGTAGCACAGTTTTGAGCTGCACGTATGGGGCAGGAAGCTTGTTACACGTCTGTTGTGGTGACACAGGAGCGGCAGCCCAATTCTGCACCCACTGAGGGAACAGCAAGAACGATGACAACAGCAACAACATGATCAGCAGGCTGAAGGGACTGATTTACAAAGTCAGATTAAAGGAAGTAAAAGCTTCATTAAATGATATGCTAAAAGTCTGTGACTATCTGAAGGGGGTGAACTCCAATTCTGGCGAAGAATCATCCGCTGTAGTTCAAGGGGATATAACTAGAACTGCAATAAAATCATGGAAAGGGAAATTCAGGCAGCACACCATGAAGAAAGATCCTGACAGACAAATGCATTACATGGTAGAATTATGCTCCCAGAAACAAGAGAACAGCTTGGCATAATTAAAACTAGACTGGACAAAATGTCTGCAAGTGGACTGCGGGGAAAGATCTCATATTGGCCAGGGGCAGATGGGACTAGAGGACCTTCTAGTCTTTTCCATCAAAGTCTGTGATTTTCAAAGTGTCCACAGGCATTTGTAGGCAACTATCTGTGTCAGAGCACCAACAGATATGTGTCTGCCTGGGTGTATCTGTGTATGCTCAAAGCGTGTGTCTGTCTGGGCATGTATGTGCCTGTGTCCGTGTGTGGGTGAGTTTTGTATCTGTTCCATTTTCCTTTCAAGCCTTGTTGTCTGCAAGAAAAACAGCACAAACCATGCAGTTCCCATACCTCCTTGGACTCCCTGTTTTGCCCCACTCCTACGATCAGATGGAATTCCACAGCATTTTCAGGCTTATATACTCCATGCCTAACAACTAAATGGGGTCTAACAGCGATCCGGAGGTATAAGCAAACTACCGTTGGTGCCCAGCTCTTGCAGACTGGAAAGTGAAGAGGAGCTAAGGAGGTGCTGTGGCAAACAGTGCTAAGTGAAGGTCTGAGAACTCGGCATTCAAGTGCGGACTAATGAGCCAGACACCTTTCAAAGGAGATCATTTCCCTTTCCTCTGTTCCCAGTCCCATGCCCTCCTTACCGGCGCAGGTACATCTTCCACGGCTCAGAGAGCTTCTCCTGGACAAGCGCCTTCACTGCCTTGCCCAAGTACTGCGTCGGCTCCCCAGCCCCAGCCTGGCTGCCATCTCCTTCTGTCTTAATGTTCAGCAGGTTGCCAAGGCTGGCACTGGTCTTGGACATCTGGAACAAGAACACACACACTGCATCAAACCCAGCTTGCAGCTGTGGACACTGCTGGTCTGGGCAGTTTTGGGACAGTCCCATGGAAAGCTGTGCCTTCAAAGAGAGAAGACAAGAAGTCTGCGCACGCTGCCCCAACTCATCAGCACAGCTCAGGAACACTTCACTCTTGGGCATCCTCCCCCCAGCTGTCACAAAGTACATGGCACCCATCTGGTATTCATGTCTCCTGTGTGAAGAAATGAAGCATCTGTGCCACACACTGCAGAACTGAGGTGAAGGGAGACAGGCCCTGTTTGAGTATGGAGAAGGTGCACAGATGCTGGTGCAGTCTGAATCAGTAATAACCCAACACAGCTCCTACAAAATGCTGGGCTCTGGGTGCAGAGGTAGAAGTGATAGGCTCTCGTTCACCCAGAATCACCTCACCCTAGCTGCAAGGATGACTCTTTATTGAAAGGGACCATCAGGAATTTATGTGGAAGAAAATAATTATTTTTTTTTTTAAATCTCAATTGTGAAAAAAATTCTGGGCCATAAAAGTCCTCAGCAAATTCTTACAGATTTCACTGAAAAACCTGTTTCACTCTCTGTGCTCAGTGTGCCTCGCTCACAGCGCAGGAACAGACCCACAACACTGCGTGGAAGGCTTCAAACAGATTCTGCACTGAGAAGCCTTGGAGGTGTGGGATGAAAGGAGGACATTTACTCCAGAGTGCTGGAGAGAAAATGTTCTTTCCTAGCGAATGCACGGTTCCCCAGGCCAGGTCCTGCTTTGCTGCTCTCTCAATTACCTCCAGTAACAACACTGAAATTCACAGTGTGAATAAAATCCAGGATTAGACCTAATACTTGCACTATGAACTCCACCCACTTCAGGATCTCAAAGCCCTTTATAAATATCAGTTAATTAAGCCTGACAGCCCCCCTAAATAAACTGCAGCACGCTACAGGAACCCTGGCTGCTTGAGGCTCCTTAATGCCCCCTGAAGGTAAAGCCCCTGCTGCTCTGTGCAGACTGCAGCTCTTTATGGCTGAAGGCAGGTATTCAGCTTGTCTTTTTTTCCTTGGTGCTGGCCATTCAATTTCTGTAAAGGGTTTTTTTTGTTGTTGTTTTTTTCCTTGACAATTAAGCAAGGTTTCCTCTACCAAACTGTGCAGCAAGCACGGTGCGTTCCTGAGCACACAGAGCTTAGGTCTGCAACCCTCAGCTTGGAACGGGCTGCTTCTCACCAGTGGCTGCTTTATGTCATCTTTTAATCCCATTCCCACCTTAAAAAAAAAAGAACAAACCTCAAGAACTGTGTTGTGTACCTATGCTGCACTCATTCTGCACCACATAAATAATCCTCACGTTGTGCTGCAAACCTTTGTGCCGTACCTCTGTGCAGGGCTGTGACACAAACAAATGCTTATTTCTAAACACAGAATTTCAAGTGAAATATCTTCTGGAAGATATCTCCCTTTGCTCAGGATCCCCAGCAGCAGATGTACTAAATACACGTATTCACTAGAGAAAGAACTGCATATTTGGAATCACTGAAAGGAGGGCACGCAGAAAGGAAACTATGTTTAAAAGGGACCACCAGAAATCCAACAGAACAGAACCAGTGGCGAAGGAAAAGTGGTGTAAAGGTAAAGGTAGGAATGAAACAACACGGGAAAACATGTGATGAAGTAAGAAGGAAAGGAGCTGAGGCTACCAAAGTCACTCTGCCCTCTCCTGAGGGTTATATGGCCTCGATGCACGCAGCGCCCAGAGCCCAGGGGATGGCAATTGCTATGCCTGTAAAACCTATCGCAGTGGAATATGAAGGCAAGGCTCAAAGGCGGCCCTGATCTCTAATGCAGTTGTACACAACAGGAAAATTCATCTTTGTACAGTAAAATTTATCATGTGAAAGGGAAATATATATTGGAGATGATGTATAATTTAAGGAAAAAGTAAGGAAAAAGAAACCGTGCATTACTTAAAATAAATATTCTACAACATGGTAAAGTGGGCTCTGCTGGACACCATTATTCACACCAGAAAGGCAGCAATTGATGATTCCAGCTCAAAACTTGTAATTTTTTTCTTCTTCTCTTCCATAAAAACAAACGATTCTCCCCTCCCCCATGGAAAGAAAATGTTTTCAAGTTAAAAAAAAAAAGAAAAAAAGAGTAACTATAAAAAGAGAGCAAGAGAAGTTGCCAGGTTCTGGGAATAAAAATGGGAAAAAAAAATCTTTCAGAGCCCTCCTCCATCTAGAAAGGATGAAAAAAAAGGTGTCAGAGGCTGCAATATATTTCTTCAGCCAGTTCATTAAATTAATTCGTAAGCAGTGGCTCTGAAATTATACCCGATGAAAAATGGTCTCAAAATTTAAATGGTACAAACTCATCTTATTAGAGGCAAAACATTAAAAAACAAACGCATCTCTTCCCCCCTCCCTCCCCGCCATCGCGGCTTTAATTTCTCTTGGTGGGGGGAATGAAAGGCGTTTGATGGATGGCTCTTACCTTATTCATAAGCGAGGATAAAAGAGATGAATTTGCCGAGACTGTGTGGCCATTTGATTCATTACTGGAACACACAAACCAACAGGGTTTAGTTAAGATGTGCACAGAGACCGTGAGCACTGAGATCAATCCTTCTCCCTTCAAGCTGCCTCACTCCTCACCTGCTGCATCCAGAGGAAGAGAATGATGCCCACCCTCCCTGGGGCAGGCCAAACTCTTCCTCGTGATAGCCAAGATGGAGACCCAGAGGTTCCAAGTTTACTGAATTGCTCTTTCACCTATTAAACAACCCAGACCTCTTCCCCCAGTTCCCCACACCATCGCCTTTTTTTATCAGCTAACTCACAGCCTTTGTCCTGATAGAACTAGGGGGGCTGCTGACCAAGGACTCACACTGCCAGAGGCACAGCCCCTCTGCAACAGCAGAACAAGGAAGGCCCCACATCTTACAGCCACAGCTGCACATGCAGAAAGGCAATCCTGGCATTTGATAAGAAACCAGGAGTAGTTGCAGCTGACTGCAATTGCTTGGGTCCTTATTTGAGGTTTGCTTAAATACAGTAACGGAAGAAACACATCAAGGGTCAAAGTGGAGCAGGCTTGGTTATCCATTAAGGTTGGAAAAGACCACTAGGATCACCGAGTCCAACAGTGAACCCATCCCCACCAAGCCCACTGACCCTGTCCTACAGTGCCACATCTGCAGTTCTTGAACACCTCCAGGGATGATGACTGCCACTTCCCTGCAGGCCCTGTGTCAACACAGGGCAATCCCCAAGCTCTCCTATTCTGAGGTTTTGGACAAGTAGGACTGAGTCTTTGAGAGGCAAAACACACAGCTGTGGGTTAGCACAGTTCACCGGTTTGTTCTGTGTACCCAATTGGGACAGTCCCAATTGCAGACCCAATTCACTGCCCTGCTGCACTGGTGCAGAAGTTCCTGCAACGTGTGGTGCAGGAGCAGCCTTCAGCCCACTGGCATGCAGATCTCAGTAAGTAAAAGAACGGCTTTGTCAGTGGTTTTTCTGAGAGGAACACACGAGGTGAAGCTCTTGTCATACAGCGCTCATGAGCCCCAGGAACCAGGTGGGGAACACACGCCTGAGGGGCAGCACAGCGAGCCTCCCTGCCTCCAGCTTGGGTGTCTAACTAAGCTGCTGTGCAGCCTGAGCACTGCAAAGCGTTGCGTCCCCTTGGGCTACAGGTACAGCAAATTCTCAGAGCTTGGTGCTGCAGAGAAGTAAGTGCGCTGCCTCTGCACGTCACTCACCCGTGGTCCTTGACACTCAGGTCCAAGCTGTGCTCCTGCAAGGACTCCTGCCCACTGGCAGAGGATGATCCCATGGCCTCTGCTGGCTCTTGCTTCACCTGGACTGGGTTGAACCGCCCGGGAGCTGCTGCTTGTCCATTTCCTGCTCGAGAGAGACATCGAGATTGAAGGGAAAAGTGGAAATGGAAGAAGCAGGCCTGAGATGGGCAGCAAATAAAAAAGTTGGATCGCTATCAGAACTGCACAAATGGAAAAAGCACAGAAAAAAAGAGTGGGGGGAGGGAAGTGCCGGGATTGCTGGTCAGCGTTTATTGCCGAGCTGACATGATAGGTTCTGACGTCCACTCCAGTGTGGAAATTCTTCAAGTGATAATTATTGCAAAATTATGTCAAAGTTGTCCAGGCTATGGGCCCTTTAAAGGAGAAGGGCGGAAGGAGCGTGGGGGAGACCTGATTCTCTGCACAAACTGTCATAACTAATTTGCGGGGCTGCCTCTTAAGCGTTTATTAAAGACTCCGTTAATGCTGAGGCAATGTGGCAGCTTTCGACTGCCGGCCAGGCCCCGGCCCCGGCCCCAGTCCCAGCGTTGCCGTAGCGACGGCCGGGCGCCATCGTGCCTCCCAGCAGGAGCATCTGCCCGCCGGGCGGCCACTGGGCACGGCCCGACCCACAGCTGGGGGACCGGGGGGCACGGTGCCATGCCTGTGGCACGGAAATGCAGATACAAAGAAAGGAGGAAGAACCGGAGAACAAATTCAAGGGACAAAAATTAAGGAGAGGAGCAAAGAAAAAAGGAGGGAAAAAAAGTTGCTGACAGGAACATGTCTGCGGAGCTTTCTTCCACAATCCCCAAGTGACTAAAATATTAATTTGCCCTCCGGCAGTACAGCTGACGGCAAGCCGCTTCTCAGCCAGCAAGTGGCATTTTATTAAAAAATAAAGGAAAATAGTTCCCTCCATGACCTTTCTCTGCTTTAGGAAACAATTTTTCAAATCATAATTTCAAAAGCATGGCGCAGATCCCCTCCCCTTTCAGCAGAGCGCCTCGTCCCACGCTCAGGAGCGGTGCTGACAGAGCCCAGCTCAGGCCCAGGGGGCAGCGCCGTGCTGGGTGCTGCCAGGCGGAGCCCCCAAACCCACACTGCTGATCGTGGTCAGCAGGAGGCCATGGGGGGCACCTGGTGCTCTGCTGGGAGCCCCCAGGCCTCGGCCTAGGCGGCCGCACGCCCCATTCGCTCGGCCATGCAGATAGCCAGGCTCCACGGGAAGCCATGCCAAGACTGCCTCGGAGGGTTCCCTTCCTCCAAGGGTTAGCTGCCATTCAGGGGTCATCTGCACACGACAGAATTTCTTCTCCCAGAGCTGCTCCTTTATTACTCCCTTCCCACTCCCAGGGGGCCCCTCATTCTCTCCTCTCCGGATCATCAGGCACGCTTGTTCCTCCCACTGCTAGGACAACCGATGATGGCAACTCACCTGCTTCGAGTGCCACAGAGGGCTTAAGTGCAGCCGCTGCCAGCCTGGCCATCATCGGGGAGATTAACCCCTTGCTAGCAGAGATCCTTTCCATTATGGATGCCACTGGAGCTGGAGAAGAAGTAGCTGAAGGCTCACCGGATCCTGAGATGGCCTGGGGTGAGGAATCTGTGGGAGCAGATGATGTTGGATTGGCGCCAGATGAACCAGCAGTCATCAGGTTAGCGGAGCTGGCGGGAAGCGGTGTGGAGACCCGGCTGGGGATGATGGGGAAGAAGGATCCAGCCGCTCCAGGAAGTGCTGAGTTGGAGAGCGCCAGAGCCAAGGGAATATTGCTGGGAAGAGCCTGGGAGAGCAGGCCGGAGATCTTGGTGGCTGGTGTCATGCTGTTGGCAGGCTTGCTGACCTGTGAGGAAGCAAGCTCAGCAGCAGAGGAGGGTGCAGCTGGGACTATGAGAGAAACGGAAGACTGCTGACTGGTGGGAGAGGCACTCAGGCTGGAGTTCTTTGAGCTCATTGCAGAGAAGTCAATAAGGTCGTCATTACTGGACTCCTCTTGCTCGTTATCCTTGGGTCCTAGGAGAGAGGCAGGCAGGCCCAGCACTCCTGAGCTGCGGATGTGCCGGCGCTCATGCTTGCGTTTGTGGGAGGTCATCTGGCTGGTGGAGGTAAAGGTGAAGCCACAGCCTGCCCTTATGCAGTGAAAGTGGTTGGTGGCCTTGCTGTAGACACAGCCCTCATACTTGCATTCCTCATACTTGTAGAACTTCTTGAAGCCATCCTTGGCATAGGCATCATCTTTGATGTGGTAGCTCTTGTGCTTCTCAATGTCACACTTGTTCTTGAAGGTGAAGGTGCACCCAGGTCGCCTGCAAGGGCATCGAGGAGGAGAGAGTGGTTGCCGTGTGGGCCAGGAGCACAGTGCAACTGCTGTCACATGCCACCCTCTGGGACAAGGACTGCAGGCAGTATGAGGCAGTGGCCCTGGCTACAAAGGGGCTGAAGAGTTTTATGTAAGTTAACCTGCAACGCCAAGTCAAGCAAAAAGTGCTGCTGTGTGAGACAGCTTGGCAGCCATCCCCACTCTGAGGAACAGCCAGGATAACGTGGGGATGCGCCCAGTACTGCAAGTGCCAACCGAAACAGAGGCTAAAGAGAACTAAGGTACCAACTACGTTTTTCCACTCTTCCTGAGAACATGAGAAATCAATAGAAGAGCGTTTGTGTACGGAAGGTAGAGTCTGGCTCTGAAAGGGATGAGCTGGCTGGAGAGAACTCTAGCATGAAAGTGCCATTAGCAGTATATTAGTGTCCCCCTGAGTTGAACTCTGGCATGAACTGAGCACTGTGATCTCCTTCCCAAATGATTCCTGGATGTCTTTTCTTTCTTTCCTCAGATCACCACAGACAAGCCACCTGTGTTCTGTGCTAAGATCCTGGCAATCACATCTGCCCTGGAGCGTGAGCCCTCTCAAGAGCAGCACTGAGAAGGCCACACCAGGGAAGAGTCAGTCCCTGTGTACTCTCCTGAATTCCTGACTTGGCAGAAGGAGGCAAACATCCATCTGCCTCCATCTCAGAGGCAGGATCCCTGCCGTTCCCAGCTCTCACCTGCAGTGAAAATGAGTGGTTTTCTGCCCGTAGAACTGGCATTCCACAGTGCCACAGTCCTCCGTGGCGCGGAACCGCTGAAACCCGTCGTTGATGAGCTGCGTGTTCTTCTTGTGAAAATTCTCATGGGTCATCACGTCAGAGGTGCTCGTATAGACCTTGTTACAGCCCACCTAGCCCAGGCAAAACAGGCAGTCGTCAGCACAGTGTTCTAACGTCCCACCATGATCTTATTAACATCAGCAATAATAAACAGATGAGCAGCACACGTACATTTAACAGTTCCATTTGGGCATTTCTCCTAGGAGCATTAAGTCATCACTTTAATTCCCCATCTAAAGACTGAAGCATTGTCATGAACAAAAACAGAACTCCCAGGGTATGAAATGGAAAAAAAACAGAAGGATGCAAAGGGATAGAAGCCCAGCTACAGATAACTGTGCCTGCTTGGGGAGAATGCAAGCAGGGTTCCCACTCTTCAGAAGACTGACAGATACCATTACTTTTTGTCATCTTGGAATGGAGTAGGACTTGTATCTATTAGAAGAAACTGAAATCGCCTGGGAGTGAGTTATTTTCCTCCTTCCTTTCTCAGAAAAAGGCAGAGTGGTGCAACACGAAGCCAATCTTTTGAGCTTGCAACACAAGGGTTTCGTCTGAGCGAAGCACAAACCCTACGTTCAGCCGATCTTAGCAAACTGGTGGCTGCTTTTCCCTGCTGCCTGTTCAAGACTACTGCATCTACAATTTTAAACTCGGGCAGCAAATGGGAATGGTGTGACGAGGACGGAATGCTGAAAACCTGCCTTCCGCTGGGTAAAGCGGGCAACTTTGCCATATTGAGTAAAAAAACACTGGAATCTGAAAACGTCCTCAGCCCTGCTGAGGGAGGATTTTTTTTTTCCCTTTTCTTCTCCAGCACATCGTGTGCCAATGCCTGCACCATCTCAGAAGTGAAGAGAACGAAAACACCACCTCTCAGTTCAGCCCAGGTTGATTCAAACAGGCAATAACAAAACCCATGACAAATACCCAGGAAAAAAAGGATCTCCAGCTATTTCCAATATAAAAGAGCCTCTCTCTCTCTGCACTGACACCTTGAAAAAAGACAGACCCTGCACGGCATTAAAAAAAAGAATTAAACAAAAACCTCCTTAGGAATAATTTGCAATGCAGCTCTTGGTGCTAAAGCCTAAAAAAATGTCAGTTCATATAAACAACTAACTGAATTTTATCCACACCAATTATGGACATAAAGAAAAAAAACCCCACGAGATGGATGGCACAAATCCTGCCATTTAAGCAATATTTTCTTTAATTGAGGGTTTATGTTCAGACACCTTTCCTGTAAGGCACTGCTTACATGGGCATTGTTTCACTGGAAGACAGTGGGCACGGCGTGGAATTACCCATATATAGTTGTGTAAAAGAGGGTCTCTATTCAAACTCAGAGTGACTTAAAGCTGTGAAACGTTCCTTGTACTCTAGAAAATTAAACAAGTCTCATCCTGGTCAATTGAAGAAAATGAGTGATGAATATTACGGAAGAATAACAGAAAATGTCCTCAAGAGAAAGTCACACCAAGTTCCCCATTTATCAAAAGCCTGTAAGCACGTGCTTCAAGCAGCCCCTATTCAGGACAGTACTTGAGTGCATGCCTAACGTTTAAGTATGTGCTTAAGCCCCATTGACTTCAGAAAGCTTACCTGACTTCAAGTCAAACATATGCTTAAGTCTATCCCAGCAAAGCATTTAAGCATGTGATTAGGGCCTTGTGACTTGAACTGTGGTCTTAAACTGTTGGGATTGAGCTGGAAGGGAGACATGGGTCACAAAAGCTTTCACCAAGGGCTGCTTGATTATTCTGTTTGGTAGGACAGCACATGATTCAGGCCACAATTTTAATGAAACAAGCAGGTATCAAACCCTCTAATCTGAGGCACAGTCAGGAGAAGACCTGAATAATTTGGTGTGTCCATGTCAGAAAAACAGCAGAGGGGTCACGGTCACACCTGGGCAGCAGCCCCAGCTCTGGGAACACTGCTGTTGGCTCCTGAGTCAAAGCTCCCAGCTGACAGTACAGACATTCATCTCCAGTTCCATTGGCAGAGGAGATGGGGGACCAGGAGTGTCAAGTCTAGATACGTGACATAAAAATCTAATTACTTTAGAAATTGATTATGGAGGAAATGAAGCCAGTGTTAAAGGGCAGATGTTCCATGGAAAAGCCTGATTTCAGGAGAGCACCAGATCAGTTTGGTAGCAGCAGCACAGTGGTGTCAAAAGAGGTCCCTGAATCTCAGAGAAGGGACTGTCTTGAACCAGTGAAGTCCAAGACAACCTTGAGCCCTGCTTTGCCTCACTGCATGCACGGGGCTTCCACACCCAGAAAACCCTTCAGCCTGCCCAGCACTCGGCAGGGAGGTCAAGGAACAGCCTCTTTGGAGAAGAGCCTGGATCAGAAGCAAACAGGAGCTCGGAGCAGTGAAATTAGGGCTCCTCTGCTCTCTGGCAAAGACGGGCTGGGCTGTCAGACGTGAAGATGTCCCTCAGTCCACCCCAGCAAGGACACAGCTCCACTCATCTCGTATGCTACCACTCCATCCCCGGTCCGGCCGTTACCTGCATGCAGTGGTAGTGTGTGCTTTTCCCATTCAGGTGGCAGCCGTGATAGTACACACTGCAGTCATCCAAGGGGCTGAAGCGCATGAAGCCGTGCTGGAGGGAATTATCACGTTTCTTGTGCATGTTGTAATGCCGAATCACATCCTGTTTACTAGTGAATCTCTGGAGAGATACAGAGACAGACAGAGTGAGACACACGTGAAGGGAGTGGGTGAGTAATCCTGGGAGCAGGGTTTGTTGTTGTTGTTCATAAACTTTGGTACCAGCAGTCTAAAGCTCAGCAGCAGTCGTCCCAAGAGAGCCAAAGAAGAGACCAACTGTGTGTCCATGTTTTCTCAATAAAGGGAAAGCGTATGCACATGAAAACCTTTGAACATCATAAACATGACACTGGGGTGATGTTCAGAATATGCTCCCTGCAGCTTTAAGACCGCAATTCTTCTAACATAATTTTAGCTGCTACTATCTCGAGGACTGCTATAGTTAGAAAGCAAGCCAGCAAACTACACCGCCTGCAAGAGAGACATCCAAGCTCCCAGATCCCTCACTGCAGTGGTTAGTGAGACACTGGCTGCCACATTCATGTCAGACTAGAAACTGGGAAAAACAGTCTCTTACAGCATCTTCCTGGTGTCGGTTGTCTGCCATCCCTACAAGGTGGGATGGCTGTTTTAGGAAAATGAGAACACAGAATTTTCTTCTGGTGACAGATATGCTGGTAGCAGAGCTCAGAGCCAGATGAGGATGACCAGAAGATCCCTCCCATCCTCTACCTGCCTGAAGTAATGAGGGGATAGCCCTCTCTCAGAGCAGGATAAGTGCCTTTAAAATGAAGCTTTTCATTTCTATTTCCCACAGACATCAATATTTAACAGAGAAGGTGGGAAAGTAAATCTGATTTTTTAAAAGAAATCAATATCCATTTATTTTGAGGAGTAATTGAAAAGCCCTGCATTCTAATGTTTAACAACTTTTCTAGTCTCCCTCACAGGAAACAAATGATTATCGCTTCCACTCTCTCCTTCTATAATATCAATCCTGATCAATCTCGCTGGTATTGGCATGAGAAAAGATGGATACAGATTTCAACAGGAATCCCTTGGAGGCCGGAGGTATGATTTCCCTGGGTGTACATACAGGATTGCTATTGCCAATCATCGTTAATTTGTGCCCACTTATTACAGAGCGTTACTTATTATAAAATATATCTCAGCCATAAAATAATTTGCATTTTAAAAAGCAGCCTAAATCCTTATTCCCTGCGAGACCAGACAGCTCCTTTGCAAGCAGCTCCCAGACTCTTTAGGAAATAATCATGAGACCAATCACAATAATAGGTTTTTCTGTCTTTCCATTCTTTATGTTTCTCTTTCCTGGTGCACAGATATCTGTGTCACAGCTGGGACAGACTCATCTCAATTACTGAGTGCCAGGCTAGGAGGACCACTGTGTGCATCCCAGAAAAAACCCTCCTCTGATCAATAGAAACCCACAGGCAAACTCAGCAGAGCCAGAGCAGCTCTCGTGCTGTGGTCAGGCTCTCACTCCCATGAGACCAGAAGGTCTCCCGGGTAGGGCAGAAGTTGTGTCTCATGCACAGCAGAGGTGAACTCTGGGATTCCCTCTTACACACTCTCAGCCTGACCACAGAAATGGCAGAGTCAAGCTCACAGACCTGGGAAGAGGGTAAACACTCAGCACGTGATGCAGCTTGCTTTGACGTTGCTGCCCTGGCAGATCTCCCAGCAATTACAGCATCGGACATGCTCCTGCCCCCAGCTCTCCCCACAGATGCCGGCCTGCTGCTGGTCTTATTGGGTGTTTTGTTGCAGCTACTGCCACTGCAGCCTCACTTGGGCAGCAGGAGGCTAACAGAACAGCACGCCCTGCTTTCAGCCACCATCTGTACCAAGGCAGAAGTTATCCTCCTGCTTTCACTGGTGTAAATCTGGAGTAGTTCCCACTGGCTTGAGCTGATCGATACTCTAGCAAATTCAAAATGTATCTTGCCCTCTTTTTAGAGCAGAAGAGTGATGACATGAGGGAGGACAGCACAGAGGACATGCACCTCCCCTAGGCAGGACCCTTCCCACCTGGCGGCTGTGCTGTGATACCCCTTCCTTTACCTGGTAGTTGCACTCTGGGTCAAGGCAGTGGTAATGTTCTCGGTACTGGTATGCACAGTGTATGTGTCCACAGTGCTGGCTGCCAGAAAACCTGTGTGCACGAGAGGAGGACAGGAGAACAGAGAATGAAACGGTGTCCTGAGAGCAGTGTCTGTGAGCAGTGTATAAACAGAGCGAGTCCCACTCCTGCCTTCATCCCATGTGGCCAGGGCACCCAAACCCACCTGCTTTATCACCTCTGAGGACAGTGGCCCTTCCCACCTTTCTTTTCTTATTTGTCTCCATTTAAACAGGTGTTTCCTGAGAAAGATCCTTCCGGGTTTTTACCTCCTGAATCTGCATACGTTTTTTCTTTGAAATTCACCTCTATTACCTCAAAGTTGCTTACTTGTGGAAAAGTAAGAAAGGAATTAAATATCACACAATTCTGGAATTCTCATTAGTGAGTTTGGATAGCTCAGCAGTGAGTTTCAGAAACCTCCCACACCACAAGGAAACAAATGAACATCGGTCACACACGTCTACCAGGATCACAGAAAGCTCAGAAATTCATTAGTGCAAGTTATGTCTCCATTTGGTGTCACACTACAGAGGAGGCTGCAACCTGCAGAACAGAGGGGAAGCCACGAAGGCAGTGCAACACCATGGCAAGATTATATGGCAACTGAGTATGATGGAGAGAGCAAAGGAAGACGAGGAGAGATGAGAGAACAGTGAAGCACTGCAGGCAGTCACCTCTACCCTGTGTACAGATTCTTCCTATGCACTGCTGGTGGTTATTTTCCATGTGGATGCATTTGCTCACAACTAACCAGCACAAGGCAAAGGCGTAGGATTTTCAGCTTGCCCTTTAAGAGCAGTTAGGAGCAGGGCACCCACTCCATGCTGCCTTCCATGCAGCAAATCTGTATAATTCCTGACATAAAGGGTGAGAAAAAAGGCAGCGACGCCACATGGTAGCTGCAGACAAATGGACAGTGCACTGAGTGTGCTGACAGACAGAGCAGTGACTGGCAAAGGAGGATGCTGTGGTGCCAGGCTGATCCGTGTGGAGATCTTCAGTGCGTATACCTGGGGAAACCGGAGGAGCTGAAGAGCTTGAAAGGGAAAAGCAGGGAGGGAAGGGGACTCAGAGGGGAAACATTCAGAGATAAAGTGCCATCTGCTCAAAGGTTCCTCCCGTCACTTCATGCTAAACGCACCGGGAGCACAGATGATAAAGGGCATCAGAAAGAAACAAGGAAGGGCAACAGGGAAAGGGGAAAAAAGGAGGAGTGAGGGTGTCCTGGGGCAGCAGAGGAAGGGGCAGCAGCAGGAGAGATGGTGGAGCACCAAAATGCAAGGCAACGTTAAGCTGCAGGACAGGAAAAGGAGCCAGGATGGAGAGCAGTACTAAATAAGGCATTTCTGGAGTGCAGTGAGGAAGAGGAGGTCAACTGCAGAGACAGCAGGGCCTCCTGGAGACGGAGGGGGGATTTAATTGACAGAAAAGGTAGACGTTGCTAAAAAATTAAATTACTTTTTTTCCTCGGCATTCACAAAGGGAGACAGGGACAGATGCCAGGAGCAGACATGCCCTTCCCTGGGGAAGGAGAAGAAATACCGCAGGAAATCGGGATCACGTCAGAACAGGTGATTGAGAAACTGGAACAAACCCTGGCAGTGGAGAAGAAACAACCCACAAAGCAAACAGCAACGCTGGCTGCACAAACAGAGGGCACGAAGCAGCGCTGAGGGAACTGGTCCTGCTGGTCTGGGGCTTGTGGAAAGGCCAAGGAGCTGTGGGATGGCACGGGGAGAGCAAAGAACCGTGCAGGGCTGGGGAGATGGGGTGTGCGGGCCAAAGGGACACTTGGCAAAGGCAGAGCTCGGGGAGAGCTGCCCCAAAGAGCACGGAGGGTAAGGATGATGCAGCAGAGATGCCAGCTGCAGCAGAAGGGCTGGACATCAAAGACCTCTGCAGGCAGCTGAGCATGCCGGGTGCTGGGGGAAGGATGGACGCAGCACACACGGCTCGGAGGGGACGGGCTGCTCCTTCAGCCTGCAGGGTGAGGTTCCTAAAGGGTTATCTTTATCCTGTGTTTCTTCTGACACTTGAAACAGTTCAAAGCTATTAATTTTTAAAGCACAGCAGCTGTTTAGCTTTTTTCATAACAGGAAAGCTCACCCAGCACACACTCACTTACACGCATCCACACGCGCCCATTTCCATGCACATGCTCTGAGGTGCATCAACACCCCGATTAATTTACATGACCGTCCGCACAATTTCCATGCACACCAACAGGCGTGAGCACACACACACCTGATTGCAAACTCAGGCCATTTCATCACGCTGATATGCAAATCCAAACTCGTAAGCTGTGAGCACAGGCACAGATTCATTTCACAATTACACCTCCCTCCCCTTCCCTCACTTTAATCTCTGCGCTTTTTTTTTTTTTTCTGGCCAAAGAACCAGTCTTGATCTGGCAAGAGTTAGAAAGAAAAACCAGGATAAATAAATACTAATAAAAATAATAAATAAAGGAGTCGGCATGCTTAGTGAGTGTTTACAGACTCATTACCCTGTAACGATGATGTGAAAGAAGGAAGAAAAAAACCCACCCCAATTACAAGGGGGGGAGGAAACCCACACAGAAATAAATATTTAAGCAAGTGCTGCCAGAAGCACCATCTGCTGAGGCACTAATAATAATAATAATAATTTTTTTTTCTGTGGTCTTTTTTTTTTTTTTTTTTAAATTATAAATATAGAGAAAAACAAAAACTAAAAAAAAAAACCAACCCACCCCAAACTAGCTAAGTAAGAGGTTTTGTTTTGTTGTGCGAGAGAATGGATTATCCCTGGGCAGCTTTTGGCAATGGCTTTGGCAAACTCATTAAGCTAATTATGCAGCGCAGACATACAGTGTCGTGTCTCTCTTCCCCCCCTACCCCCTCATTTTAAGGCTTAGAACTGTTTTTAAAATTGTGTGTAAATGGAAGGGATGTGGCTGGGCCGCCAGCGGGCGGCTTGCGGAGCTCTTTGAGCAGGATGTGGTGTCCCTGCGCTGTCTCAGCAGCCTGCTCGGTTACCTGCCCAGGGGAAGGGGCTCGCCGAGCACTCAGAGGAGTGGATGCGGTGTGGGGTTCGAGCAGGGCTGCGCCAGAGGGGAGCTGGGGACACCGAGAGCGGCGTCGCCTCCGAGCGAAACCCAGCAGGCTCAGCAATAAAAGGGCGCTGCTCCTTCTGCGCCGCGCAGCCGTGGGCCCAAAGCCTGCTTTCCTTCCTGTGCCCTCCCAGGAGGTGGTGAGCTGCTGCGTGCACCAGAGGAGCTGCACGCGAGTGGCCTCCTGCCCCCTTTCTGCTCCAGAAGGCAAGTGGGCAAAAGGGCTCCATGGGCATCACTTGCTCCCACCCTCCTGCCCTGCCCATGTGCCCAATCCTCCCTGCAGCTCCCCAGCAGCTGGCTCCCCCAGGAAGCCCCCCCAGTCTTGGGCAAGATGGGGAAGCACAGTGCACATTCCCCTCCCCTCCTGTTCCCCATGTGCTGGTGGGAACAAATCCTTCAGCTGCATTTGTGGAGAGAAGTGCTCGTTGGTGTGGCTCTGTACACAAGGGGCTCTCACAGTGAGCTCCTCGACAGCACCAAAGGAAGATTCAGGGGCTGGGAGCAGAGGCTGACGAGCTCCAAAGCAGGCAGGTGTTCTGCAATAATCTCCTCTCTCCCTCTGGCTCTGATGGCATTACTCTGTGCCACCGCTGCAGCTTGGGCTCGTTTTCAGCACTGCTCATTCCTGCTTGGCCAGAGCTCAGCCAAGGTGTCCCAGACTGCACACAGCCAGCGAGGGTTTTCAAGTAACAGAGCTGCAGAATATCCCCTATTGGTTCTGAGAGCTGCCCAAACTCGATTCACTTGTGGATTCCTCCCAGCCCGTGCTCTGAAGACGACATGTCCTTCTGCCTCCAGTGGGCACGGACACAGCGGGGGAAAAGGCTGGAACTGGCACAGCACCGGGCACAGAGTGACAGCTGAGACACGGCGCTCCCATTTACATCACAGGCTTCTGCAGTGAAACATTTTTCCACTATTTGTCACAAGTCTAGCAGCTCTGGGGAGCCGAGCACGCTCTTGGCATGCCTGTACACCTCTCACAGCTACTGCTATCCCGAGCAGGGGAACAGAGTGAGCGCAGATGCCAGAGGGAAATGGAAGTGCCAACAGCTGGTTTTAAACACTTGGGCCAGATGGACAAACCTCATCTCTCCAAGGTTCATTCTACCCTCTTTCTCCCAGCCCTCTCACCAAGAAAGAAGACAGTTTTGCCTACCTGGCAATATACTTCTGGTAAATATTTACATCTTCGCTGACGGTGGGTTTGTCAGTGGGTAATCCATTCCTAGGGAGAAACAGAGGACAGAGCTGGTCAGCAGCAGGGGCAGGCACAGCTCCTTGCTTCTGCACTGCACTACACACCAGGAGGGAGGTGGCCACACGCCGTCTGCAAACCAGGGATGGCCACATGAAGACAGAGGCCTCCCCAAAGCACCTTGCAACACTGCCCATGTTTTCACAGATGGGGCAGCAGAGGCATTTATTTTAATCTCTAAAAACCAATCGAACACCCATGCCATGTGAGCTTAGGTTACTTGGCACCAATTGGAAACATAAAAATTACATCCTTGCTGAGTTCTGCAAGAGGAAAAAAAGCTCCGGGGCAGGCTAAGCCCACCTGAGACATACTGGCCCATCAGCACAATCCTGGCTTCAATAAGGACACCTTTGCCCAGGTTTACTCAGAGCAGGTAGACGAGTTCCTAGCATTGAATGGTTGAGTTTCAACCTGTAGTATATGTGGATAATGCACAATTCCTGCCAGGTTACTGGGTTTCAGTGGGGACTGAATAGGAAGCCAGGTCCCAGAGAGAAGTTAGCACAGCCAGCAGGTTGCCTTCTTTAATCACAGAAGCCTGTCTGTAGCAAGCAGCCCGGAGGAGAAGGACCAGAGCCACTTCCGAGTTCCATGTGAGCACGAGAAAGGAAATAAAACTGGAATCCCCAGGCAGACGGAGGCTCACAGCCTCCACGCGGTGACCACTGAGCAGCTGAGTGCTCAGGATACTGCAGGCACAGAGGCTCTGGCCACGTCACCCATCACAACAAGGCACGGTGCCTACAGGAATATTTACAGCCGTGTTTTTTAGTAATAGCAGTCCCTGCCTGCCATCTGGAGCACGTACCAGGTTCTTCTCACGCGGGGGGTCAGATAATAATCTTTTACCCTTTCTTGACCCTAACCACAGAGCTCCCACATCTGTCTGCAGGCAGCTGGGGCATGGCTGCCTCACACAAAGGCAGGATCACCAGCTCTGCGCACCAGTCAGGGAAATGTGGCACTGATAAATCAGTGGCGTATCAAATCAGAAGGTTTTTTAGGCAGTTTGACTCTTTTTCAAAAGATTCTGATGACAGGAAGACCCATATCAGCCCTGGCACTCTCACTGCACCATGGCATTTAAACACAGTCATCCCTGGTACATGCACTGTGCAGTTGTGTCTGTGCCCCTCGGGTATGCGTGCAGCTCTTCTACAGCTGCCACCTTGGGAAGCCAAACTACACAGCAATACAAAGTTTGGCAAGGCCGTTGACTATCTCTATTCAGTCAATGGCATCACTGCAGAGATTGCCAGCAATGTGTAAGAGGTCATTAGTGGTATTTGGGCTAATGAGTTTGCCCAGTCTGCAGGGTAACTGAATCACATCCATCTGTGTAAGGAACAAGCACACTGAGAAGACACAGGCCTAGTCCCATAAAAGTACATGTATGCCTAATTCCTGTAAAATCAATGGGAATTAGGCACAGAAATGTTTGGGATGTTCTAGGACACACAAAGACTCCCTCTCTATCACTCAGCAGTTTTGCCACTGAGTTAAATGGAAGCAAGAATCGGTTTCTCACAGCACGGCTGGCTGCCTGGGGCACTGGAGGAAGAGGGAAGGAAGCAGTTATGATCTTGACCTCAGAGCGCTGACAGCACCATGTCCCCTTATCTCTCCTTTCAGCATACGAGCCCAGGAGCTAGCAGGCTCTGGATTCATGGCTGTGACTGCTGAGGGCAGGCCACATCCTCAGCACAAGACAGAGATGGAGAGTGTGACAGGAGCAGACACAGAGAGCAAAGAGAAACATCTCATTAACAGTGCAGTATGTATCAGTACACAGACTATGATTTGCTACTGACCCATGCACTCGCTAACACAAAGCTAAGAACAGTGGGAGGACACTTACTTCACTGTAGAGACTGTTCCAGTTGTGATGGAGTCTGTCTTGGAGAAAGTCGACTTCAGGTACTCAGGAGTGTTGAATGGCAAGGAGACAGCCTGCTCCGGACCGGCCATGGGAGTGCTGCTGGGGGTGCTGGCGAGAGGAGCAGGGGCCAGGCTGGGTGTTGGAGCTTTCACCTGAGTGAGTTTCTGAATGTTCCTCACATCGTACTTGGAAGGCCGGCCCACCTTGCCTGTCTTGAAGGCGATGGCTCCTCCCATGTCTGGGCTGCCTTCCCCAGGCTTGAAAAGGTGCAAGTACTTGACGTTTTCTAGGTCATACTTGGAGGCCTTCTTGTAAGTGTTGCCGTTCTGTGGCCTGATGCTCTCACCCGTCTTCAGCTTCTGAATGAAGAAGTCGTATTTGGAGGCCCGTGACATCAGGCCCTGCATCTGGGAACTGCTGGGAGAGGGCAGCGGCAGGATGGTGGCTTTGGTCTCCGTCAGCATGGAGGCATCTGGACCTGGCAGCCGAATGGGCTGCGCCAGCACCGAGGAAGCTTCTTTGCCCAGCTTGGAGCCCAGCTCCTCAGACTTGGCCAAGTGCATGGGCCAGGAGAGCTGCTCTCCAGCCTTGAGCTTGCGGATGTACTCCTCGTACTTGGAGAATCGAGCTCGCTTGCTCATGGCGTCCTCGCCAGGGAGAGAGGCTGCAGCTGCGGTGGCCTCTGAGGTAGCAGCGTTCAGCTTGTCGAAGCTGATCTTGCGGGCCAGCTCATCCCGCATGTTCTGGTCATCGTAGCCAAACATGCCCAGGAATTCATTCATGGTGGTGGCAGCGTAATCTCGCAGCGACGAAGCTTCCCCTGCAGAGAACCAGAGGGAGAGAGTCATGCAAGGGGTTGATTTTTCTTCTCCTCCCATACCAGCACTGGTAGCGAGGAGGGGGGTTAGGAGGAGAGGGGAGCATGATCTACTGACGTTTGGCTCACTTGTTAGGTTTTACGACTCTTAAATTAATTTGTTTTAAAAAAAAAAGTAATTAATACTGGGGTAAAATAAAAAGAGTTCATCAATGCCAGGAAAATCAATTTCCTAAATGTTCTAGCCGATGGCTTTTCAGTACATTAAACAAAGTTTCATAAATGTCTCTGCACTCTCGCCTTGGCCTAATATGAAGAAAAAGTAATTTTACTGGAAGTGAGACCAATGCCAATATGCTGAGGTTTATGCGGTTCTGTCCTTGTGTGAGTGTGTGTGTGCACGGACAGACCCACGGCAACGGGCCGCAGTGCTGGTGACCATAGGGGTGCAGCAGGAGAGGGCAGAGTGGGGCGGTGCTGAGCAGGCAAGGGAGGCAGAAGAGGTGGGGATTAAGGAAGGTAGGGCTGCATGCGTGAGCAGCTCGTGGGAAGGAGAGAGGGAAAGGTGTGGAGAAGCCAAGACAAAGACAGGATGGTTCCAGTGGTCGCTGCAGTCCTTCTTGCAGTTCTTTTCAGCCCGCTTTCTCCCAATGACTGGGGAGTTTCTCCTTGCCACACGCCAAGGGACAGCAGTTCAGTGAGGACAGTGGAAACCTACTGGCTGCATCCTGAGCAGCCAAGAACAGCTCCCAGTACAAGAAAAGGGGAAAGCCTGCGCAGGTGCCAAATGGATGCAGCATTCTCTCCATCAGCATTTGGGCTGAGGGACACACCATGTGGGCTTCAGAGAGAGGAGGTGCGCTCCCTCCAGTGAGTGGGAAAGGGGCAGGAGGGGCTGCTCTGCCTGGGGGCACCAGAAGACCAGGTAAAAGCTCTTCCCGGGTTCTCTCCCTCCCCTGTTCCCCTTCCTGGGCCACCAGGAGGGGAAGAACACACATCTGGAGGTCACCCAATATCAGTATAAAGAGGAAATACAGATTGTTCTGATGCGGCAGCTTGGACTCATTTGGGCTTCAGTCTGACACAGTGTTTCTCCTCCTCCTCCTCCTCCTCCTCCTCCTCTCTCTCTTGCTTTCTCCTGCAGAGTAAAGATTTACTGTGTGCAGCAGTCCTTCAGACCTCCCCTATCATCCTTTCCATTCACTCACATGAGATCTGGGGTAGGCAGGCTACCACAGGAGCACCAGCAGGGGCACAGGAGGCAGGTGGAGGGTCTGGGCACTGGGTGCAAAGCTCAGACCCAGACAGCACAGCCTTGGAAAAGAAGGCATCGAGCCACAGAAGTTGTTAACAGACCCAAAGCATGAAAACAAACCTATGAACTGGGGAGCTGATAGCCTGTAATGCCACATGCCTGGGCATGCATTTACACAAGCACTTCTGCACGCACAAGTGCCAGTCAATGAGCAATCTCACAATTTAGCAGCCATCAGCTTGCACAAATCTGCTTCCACAGGACTATGAGGAGGAAGAGACTGCCTCGAACAGGCACTAAAATGTGCGTGTCTGTGAGGGTCACATTCCTGTGTCAATACTGCTCGACACAGCTGAGTTCACAGAGCAGAACTGCTGCTGCACCAGTTCCCCGGGTACGTGAGAAAGGCCGCACGCAGAACATGGCTGCAGCCTGCAAGCAGCACGATGCAGGCACCCTGCCCAGTGCTGGGGGTTGCTTCAGCCCCAGATCACCCACCAGTTAGAACTGGGCAGTTAGAACCATCGTCCTGCATTGGATTTTGGGATGCCCAATTTCCGAACAGGCATCCTGACAGGTACAGAATGGGCAGCAGTGTCCCTGCAGGTGGGGGCTCTGGATGTAGCTTTTGGTCCCTGCACACCCTGGGGGGTGTTAAACACAGAATCAGACCCACAGAGCCCAATAACAAGCCTTGTACCCTATTCACAATAACAAGCCTTATGGCCAGACTGGTGCAGAACTCAGATGCACAACCCAAGACCATTGGGAAGGGTGAGCTTTCAGATCTTCTTCTGAGTTTTGCAAAGTCTGAGCGTGAGCTCAGGTTTCAGCACCCCAGATCTGATCCCCTCATCCCCCACAACACCCCGCATTGTCTGTCTCCCTTTGCTCAGGTTGGGTTCTGCGACACCTCCCCCGATGAACGGCTTTGTGAGCGCTGCTGTCATTTCTCATCCACGTTTAGATGGAACCTTGGCCAGCTCCCGCTGCCTACAGAGCACACCTTCCCTCATCCACCAACACAGCCCTACAGCCCTGACAACCTCCACGTTTCTGTAGCTAGGCAGAAGGCTGGGGGCTCTTGCTTTCCAACCTGAGACCCTTCCAACCCACTCTTGTTACCGAGCAGACAGACAGCTCTCCCATACCCGTGTGCAGACAGAAGCGAAGCAGAAGAAAAGCGGCTGAGAAACAAATCCCTGTGAAAAGTGAGCAGCCCTCCCCCTGCATCGCATTTTTCTCTCCCCTTCTGTGCGATAACAAAAGGGCTCCCTCTCCCCTCGCTGCGGCTCTCCATTTGTGGGCATTGCCAAAGAGCAGAGATCTGCGAGTCTCAGAGCAGCTATCGTATCACAAAGGATCCGGAGCTAGCAAAAAAGGGGCTAAAAATAGCCTGCAGCAGCACACTATATATGGAAGGAAAAGCAAAACAGCCCAAATGGAGCTCAAGGTCTGGATCCTGGGGGATGGGGCATCCCAGCCAGGGCTCTGTCCTTTATCCTGCTCAGGAGGGGGACGTGGAAATCTGGGGGCAGTAGGATAACGCAAGAGAAACTGGCACTTGTCATGCACATTCTTCCAAGTGGGCTCTGCCCAGGAAATCTAGAAGAGAAATATTCCCTTTGAAAGGAATATTTTGAAGGCTAGTATTCGTTTTCTGAGAGAGACAGCCCACAGGCTAAGAAAACTTTGAAAACCTGCACACAGGAAAGCTCCTGGTGACCGCTTTAGAACAGTGTGTAAGTAATGGGCAGAGGGAAGAACAGGGGACTGTGCAGGAAAATTCCCCCAGTACACTGTGGGAAGGGATCCCGGTCAGAGCCTGTACCAGGAGTGTAAATGCTATATATAAATGTGTGTGGAGGACCGTGGGTCAGTCAGGGTGCAGGAGAGGGTGCGTGAATGAATGAGGAAACACTGTGTGTGGGCAGGTCGGAGGCTGACACACATCTCTTGCCGGCCGCTGGCTCTGCAGCTCCTGGAGGCACACAGTGAGGCTCAGCATCGACTCCTCGGTCCTTGCGTGTTCCCTATGGGCATCAGCTGTCTTGTTTCAAAGCATGAGGACCAAAGAGCACGGAGCAAGCCTCTGCAAACTCCTGCGTGATGCCCAGCAAGCCCCACTGCATGACCCTGGAAGGGGACACTGGTGGCAGGAATACTCTGTCCTCTCCAGCACAACAGATCCTTCACACTGTGCTTTCCAGGGAATCGCTGCCATCCACATTTACACCAGACTTCCTGAAGCAGACGACCAAGACCCAGCAGCACGTCCTCTGCATGTCAAACCCCGAGTGGCTCCGTATGTGAGCCCCACGTGCCATTACCTGCCCCCTGTCCAGCCCCCAGTGACAGCTTACAGATCTTTGTGCAATCCTCTGACAGCACAGCCCACGAAAGGCATATCACTGACAACTCCGACCTGACAAAAAACCTCAGTTCCTTCTCATTTTCCACAGGTTGGCAATGTATTTTGACATTCTAGGTTCCCCTCCTTCTAGTTTTCATGGCAAATAAAAGCTGCAAATGCAGGCTAAAGGGAATTAAAACAAACTGAAAACTGAGTCCAGGCACAATCACCTTGTGTCTGGGAACGACAAGGGCTTTCCTATCAAAGGAAACTGAAGGTCACACTTTTCCTCATTGATCTTGCAATGTTTGTTAATTACTCTGTCACTGATGTGGCGAAGGATAATTAAACAGCTCTGTTTATATCTTATATGCATAATTATGTGCGCTGCCACTGAACTCGTGAAGACTAGAGAATGTGCCTCTCCAGAAGGGGAACGGACAGACGGAGATGAGTTTAGGCTGCATTATTAACAGGAGGAGGAAAACACAGGCACACACAAAAGGAGGAAAGTTTGATGGATTCACAAAGTGCTGAGATCAGGGGAGGGTGCACACAGGTGGAGCAGATTAGGGGGGGATCTTTCAATTATAGATCCAACCCAGCCGAGTGACAAATCAGGGGGAGGGAGCTGCTGCCCTAATAGAGAGAATTCAATCTGTCCTAAGCTTCTTCTGAGGCTTAGCACTAATATGGCCCCAAAAAATCAATCTGGGGGCCCGCATATCAGAAAACGAGCAAGAAACTCAGCTGGGGTTTTCCCCAGTAGCTGTGGCTGAACACAGATTTTGAATGAGGTAAAGAAATAAGATGCGAGCTATATGAAAATAGGAAATGCACACGTAGGCTGGGGGAAGACTCTTTGCAATGACACCCAAGTCAGTGCCCAGTTCAGAAACTCCTAACAAGGCAGGAGTGCCAGGGCAGCCCTCGTGGAGGGGCCAATGCTGGGTGGTAGCAGCCACTGGGGAAGAGGGGAAGCAGTGATGGAGCATGGCTGGGTGAGGGGCTGGGCATCTGTTAGAGGTTTCTTTTTTGTACAGCCCTTGGGTCCCACGGTCAGCTTTCAGCTTAGAGGGTATCGCTGCTGGGTAAAGTCAACTGGTGGGCACAAGCACGCTTACACACTCTGTGTGAGAACAAACCTAGGGAAGATCTACTCTACCATTGGATCTGTGGTCTGGGAAGAGACCCAGACACATCCACCCCGCTAAGGGAGGGTACTCTGAAGCAGAGACAAAAGGGTCACATTCCCAAAAGCAAAACACCCAGCAGCCAGGCAGGCCTCTGCTAGGGGACTCGGGGTCTCTAGCCCTCTCCTGGGCAGACACACCCAGCAGAAGCTTGGCCTTTCCCTCGAAACATGTGGCCAAGTCACTGCCCTGTGCAGGGGTGGGTGGCAGGGCCTTACCTGAGGTGGTTCCCAGCTTGGAGGCCGCCTCGCTGGAGGCCCGGTAGGCGTCATCCTTGGAGGCCGCCCCGTCGGAATCCCTGTCGTCCAGGAATGTGCCATCCTGCGAGCCCCGCAGCGCGTCTGCCTCGTCCCCGTTGTCCTCCTCGTCGCTGCAGCCCTTGGGCTGCACCATGTAGACCCCTTCAGGAGGCACCTCCGCACCCTCGGCGCCCCGGCATTCCTTGCCCTCGGCCCGCCCCAGCAAAGGCTCCTCGTACTCCCCGTTCACCCACTTCTCGATCACCTCCCTCCTCTTGTCCTCCTCGATCTTCTGCACGTGGCTGAGTCCGTCTGAAAACTCAGTCCCTGACTCCTTGGTCCCGGGCTGAGGCAGATCCTTGTTGCTGCTCTCCCGCTGCGGCCCTTTGTCCGCACGCGCCTGCTCGGCTCCCCCGTGGTCGAAGACAACCTGGCGGCTCAGCTTGGCACAGATTGCATTTAGCTTCAGGCCGCCTTTGCGCTTGGCAGCCATTGTGGGTTTTCCTGAGGTTGCGTCAGTGCATATAGTTCTTTCAGCTGGAAGGAGAGAGGGGAAAGAAGCGAGGAAGGGCATTAGAGGGATCAGAAATGGCCGTTCCCAACCCAGAGGCCTTCACACAGGCCTCTTGTCCCAGGAAGAATGGGATGGAGTCTTTCTAAGCTCAGAGCTGAGGCTTGGGCTCAGGAGTTGGGAGTTGGTGCTCCCAACCTCTGTTCCCAACAGAGGGCCTCAATGGAGGCTGGAGCTGGTGCTGAGATTGGGCTGGGCTCAGAAAGCCCCAACACCTCAGGCAAGTGAATGCAGCACAGACTGGTCTGCTGGAAGCCTTGCTGCTGCATCCTTCATCCTGCAGCACTACCTGCCCCCAGCCCCATCCCCAAAATGACACAGCTCCAAGCACATGTAACAGTTTCCCACTGTATGGGTGGTGAGTTCACTTTGTAGCCTTTATTTACAGGCTCAGTGGAGAACAACTATGGGGCACGGAGAACCAGTACAGAGAGCAGAGAACCAGTATGGAGTAGGGAGAACCCATATGGGTGATGGGAGCACTGTGCTGTGCTGGGCGTGAGGCAGCTCAATGGAAGCAAACCGCCTGGGGTGGCATCAGCTGATCAGCCCCTGTGACTGCTTGCTCTGCTCTCACACACACAGGAAATTCTGCTCTCACACTTCCCAGCACAATCAGCTAATTAGTGGAGGTTTGTTATTTTAATGTAGTTTATTCATATGTGACAGCTAGTAAAGGAGGGGTGAGGGAACGTGGGGGGAGAAAGGAAGAAGGTGAGGTCTTAACTTCAAGGTCATGGAGAAGCTTGAACTAAACGGTCCCTATCACAGAGTCACTCAGATAATTGCACCTCACCAACAATTAACAGGATTCAATCACAAAAAAAAAAATAAAAAAATAAAAAAAAACAACGAAAACCTGATTCTAAACCAGCTGCGTTGTCTCATTTCTCTTTTTATTTACGGTCCCTGTGAGAGGCACTCAGAGTGAGCAGGGTGACGGGTCCCAAAGCAGAGGTGTCAGCAGGGGCTCCTGGGTCCCTGCGTGCTGCGACAGGGAGGTGCTGCTCCACAGAAGCACGCTGAGATTAATCAGACCCCCTACGACGCACCCAGAAGCCATCGTGACAGCCCCTAATCCCGTAACATGACAGCCCAATACAAACACACTGAAACTTTAGACCTGCTGTCCAAGAGCCAGAGAGTGGCTGCTTAGCGTAAACTCCTGACAGCTTCAGACACGCTTCCCCGTCACAGGCTGCAGGAATACCCCCCTGACAAATCTATCGGCCTCCCACACAAAGTGAGGCAAAACGCTTTCCTAATGTCCCGAATGCATCCCCCCTCTGCCCCAACTGCATCCCTGCAGGAGCAAGAGCAGCTCCCAGCCATGCGCCTGCAACAGCAGCAGGTGTGAGCCACGCACGTGTGGCTTACAGCATCCCATCTCCCCCAGGCATCCCCGCACACCTCCCCACGCGGCTCCCTTTCACACATCTCCCCCCGCACACAGCCTCGTGCCTACAGATGGGCGCCCGCGATGCTGCCGAAGTCTCTGCATGTTGGCACCTTCCTTTCCCATCACATTCCCGCTCTATTTAGGGCAGAAAGTGCCGGCCGCTCCCGTGCGCAGCAGTACCGCGCTGGGACTCTGGGGAGGCTGCTGTGAGCTCCAGCTGGAGCCTGGCCAGGACCCCGACAGCTCACTGTGTGCACTCGGCGGGGGGCCAGCAGTGCAGTGGGGCAGGTGGCCGGGGCCAGGGCAGCCAGTGACCCCGGTGCTTCCTTGTCCTGGCAATCAGGACAGCCGGTGTGATGGGTGCAGGGAGGGAGGCACGCAGCCACCCACTGCCCCCACCCTGCAGGCACGGCAGGTCCCATTATGCTGGGCTGGAGGTGAGCAGCCAAGTGAGCGCACCAGACGGCAAATGAATATATAAATATTTATCCAAAGGAAGAGGGGAGCAGACGTTCCCGAGGCTGCACTTGCTGCGTACGCAGCAGCTCCAGGGAGCCTGCAACTTGTCTTCTAGCCCTGGCCCCGTGGCACACACACCCCAATCCTGTCCCTCCGGCCCCCCAGCTCCTGCCCTTCCCTCTTGCACCTCTCCTGTCCCCTCTCCTGTGCTTGACTGCTTATTTTTAGCACGGCGATGCTCTTCTTTAACAATCTGGGCATCTTTCTGTGAAGTCTGAGTTAAAAATAAAGCAAGTTTTAGAAAACGTACCTTTCCCATGATCTACCAAGCCAACCCTCCCAAAGACCATCTCTCATCCCACCTGTGCCTGTATGACTGCAGGGAATCAGAACTCCCCCCTCCTCCTTCAAATCTGCCACCAGCTCTCAGCAAGCCAGTGCATCTCTATCTCCCCATCCCTGATCTCCTCGTCTCTGGGGCAACAGGGACATTGGCAGTATCTGCATTTCTCCTTTAGGCTGACAACTTCCAACAGGGAAGGGAAACCCAGCTGGCAGAGAACCACTGAGAACGGCACTGGGGCTGGAGGGGAACAGAGCATCCTCACACGTCCAGGTAGGGGTGCAGCAGGAGGGCCCTGGATCCAGGAGTCCCTGCCCCAGCCCCCTCCCCACTCCACAACCCGCCAGGTCACCCCACGTCCGCACTGTGCTGTTTAAAGATTCCCAGCTAAGTAAACATCCCCCTTCATTTTCTTCTTCCAAATAGAAATGTTTTGATTTTGCATCAATCCGAGGAAGCCATTTATAACCTGAGCCTGTCACGGGGACTTTTCATCTCTGCCCAGGACGAACTCTCCCACATGCTCTATTTACACTGAGTGCTTCCTCTGAAAACAATGCCACCGGCAGCATGCCTGCCACCCCCTCCCCACGCCCTGCCACCAGACACCGGCTGCCCTGCACCATCCTCAGGACATCGCTCCCTTCAAGGAGGAGCACAGCGCCCAGCAGTGCTTTGGGCTGGGGACACAAAGGACCCCGGTGTGGAAGAGAGGGGTGCTGAGCCCGGGGCTGGGAACCCCCTGGGGTTGGGCAGGGCAGGGCAGGAGGGCTCAGGGCTATGCCATGGGATGGGGCACAGGATGGGGAGGGCCAGCGCGGCGGCACTTCAGAGGGCCGGGCACGTCGAACAGATGGAGCTTTCATATTCTTATTGAAGAGTTTTCAGCCCAGCTGAGCAGCTCCGTTCAGGAGGGAGGTCCCAGCGCCAGCTTTCCAGGAGCTGCAAGCTCTCATTCGATTAATTATTAACAGTATTATTTGGGGCGGGGAGGGGGAGGGAAGGAGGGCCCACAAGCTGCATGGCCTTTTCTTTTTTTAACCACTGTGGTTCGAGTCCAGCATGGCAGCAGAAAGCTGCAGCCGTGCCCCAGCCATGCCCAGAGCAGTGGATAGCAGCCGGGCACAGCCCCTGCAGGGACATCTCCCCTGGCACTGGAGCCCTGCGCCAGCCCAGGCAGCCCCAGCCCAGCCACGGTGTGAGAGTGGATGCAGTGTGTGTGCTTTCCCCTCTCTGGTTTATCAATAAAACATTTTATTGCTTTTAGCCCAGGAAATGACCTTGGATTAGTGGATGCTGCCTCTTCTGCCTGGCCTTGGGGACTTCAGTGAGGCTCTTTAGCAGCCCTGCATCCTGCCCGCATGTCGGCATGGAGCGAGGGGAAGCCCTGGGTGCACACAGAGGAGCAGCACAGCACAGTGAGCCATCCTCCTGCCTTCCCCACTGCACTGCGCTGTGCTGCCCATCCAGCAAGGGGCAAAGGGAAGTCCTCGAGCTGCAGCACGGTTCCCAAAGCCTGCAGGGTGCTACAGCCACAAGCCAGCCTCACTGTCCATGTCCCCTGCCATCATCCCAAGCACACAGTTCTGCCCCAGGTCGCCTTGTGCCCAACGCAGAGCTGAACCCCCCTCGCACCGTGCAGCCTGCAGTTGGTGTGAGCCTGGCCTCTGCCACCCCCACGCCCGCTCCCTGCAGCCGCGTCCGCCTCAAGAGTGAGCCCTAAAGTGTTAACGGCGATTGGTGAAATGGCACAGCAGATTGCTACAATAAATAATTTACTGATATTTATAAATATTCAAATCAGCAGGCTTCAGAAATTGAAAGGGGGGGGCTGAGACGATGGGGAGGGGAGCGCACACGCGCGTGCGTGTGTGTGTTTGTGTGTGTATGTGGAGGGAGGGGGGGCCAACATTAATTCCCAGGCTCTCCAAATTCATTTGTGGACTGTTTCTCATTTCAAACAAATATTAAATCTTTTGGTGTCAGACCTCCAAATAAAGCACTGAGCGGAATGTTGGGCACCTGCAGCTCCGTCCCCTCGGGTGGCTGCGGGCAGGGTGAGGAGCCATGCCACCGCCCCAGCTCAATGCCAGCCCTCATCCAGGGCAGAAACTGCCATTGCTGCCCCCGAGAAGCCGCAGGGCTCCTGGCTCTCACTCCTTGCTCTGTAAGGAAGTTCAGTTTCAGGGGTCGAAGCAGGAGGTTCAAGGCCAGGAGCCCTGGCACAGTGTCTCTGCCAGCCCCCAGCTCTCTGTGCAGAGGAGGAGTGAGGATGAAGACCCACACAGCTGAATCCCACACCTTTCACTGAGGTACGTGGTTAGTGGGCACAGAGGGGACGGGTTGGGGTCAAGCTTTGTGATCTTAGAGTTCTGTTCCAACCTTAATGATGCTATGATTCTATGAATATCGGGATCTCTGAGCTCACCCTGAGCCTCCTGCAAGCCCAGTGCCCCGCTGAGCCCTGGGACGGCTGCAGGAGGTGATCCTGTGTCCTGCCCCATAGCACCCCATTGGCAACGCCAGGCTCCAGCATGGGGCGAATTTCCCCAGATGAGTAATGGCTTTTCTAATGCACGGGCAGGCTGTCAGCTTCCCTACTCCCAGTGTTTTATGGGTTTAACTGAACGGCTCTGAACTCCCTAGTAAGAAATAAAGTTATCCCTCAGCGTCCCTTCTAAACATTTCACTCAGTGCAAACGGTGTTTAAGAAAAATGAGGACATATTTCTTCTTAAGGATGCAGTATCCCCCTTCAGAGGCCTA